AAAAACTTACACATGACTTTATTTCATTGATGCATGATACATGGTGATGGTGTATCTGTGTCATATACAACATTTTCACACTAATGATCCTTTTTAGGTTTTGGCTTTTTAATATGAGGTATTTCATTACACATTAATGACAGACTAATCCTTATTTGCATACAACTTCAACAAATACAATATGAAGGAAAGAGATCATCTCCGGATCTCTTTCACCAAGGTCACCGGATCAAGTGATCCGGACCTTCTAAATTTCATCTAACGGCACACATGTTTTGACCCCTTAAAAGCTGTGATAATTTTTGACCGTTTGATGAAATTTGGAAGGTCTAGATCAGTTGATCATATGATCTTGGTGCAAGAGGATCTCTTTCCCCATATGAAATAACATCATCCTTATTCTCATCAGTCATATATTCCAAAAAATGCACGAACGAATTCAGTTTCTTTTTGTTATGACTTCAACAAGATACAGGCAGCTAGCACACAGATTTTGATAAGTTGATGGAAATAGACAAGAACAGTGTGATGAACTTATACGACTGATGAGAATATAACATATATTAATCCACAGGTAACTGCAGAATTATGATATGCAATTATCTGACATGCAAAGCAGGTGGTGGTTGTGAAGTTTATGTTGGATACAACTTCGCTGCTGAACAGATCAGCAGCAGCTGCTGACCTTTCTCTCTGTGATGTGCAGAACGGGTGCGAAGACAGGTCAACGATGAACAAAGGCGTGTTGTTACTCACGTTTTTGGGTTAAAACGCGTGTTATGACAAAATCATCCGCTCGGCAATTGCGGACTTATCGATGCATGCAAGTAACACAATGACAAGATAATTAGTTAAGTTTAGGAGATAATTAGGTTATACTAATAAGGTCAAAAATGTCAAAAGGTCCTCAATACATTGAGCTAGCTTGCTGTAAACGCCAAGCTTGATCGACTAATAGCGTCTGTCAACCACCTCAATTGTTTATTATATGAATCCGGATTCTCTTTGTGAGAATCTCGGAGATCCGTAAATCGTGTTTATTTATCGTATATCATATGGTAAAAAATTATTTTAAATATTTTTATTTAAAATTAAACACAAACAGTACTTGACGAAAACTGACCACAAGATGTACGATGAACGAACATGATTTACGGATTCCCATGATCCTCACCAAAAGCTGACAAAAACAGTAGCTCAACTTCTTATAAATACTTATATGATTTGATTCACACCAATATAGAACTTTGTTCTCACATTTTCACAATAGTTGCGTGGATTTAAAGAGTACATAATTAAGAAAAGCTTGCACTTTTTTTTAGATCACGAACCCTACTATTTTTAACAAGACTTCCTCTTTGACAATTACTAAAAATGAAGGAATTAATAGAACGTGATGGTGATGATATGAAGGTTTAGACACTACAAGTTGGATGGAGCACGATGCGATTCACATGTAAGACCATTTTCAAAAGAGATGTCAATTTCTAAGTGGAATGTTATATAATCAAATTTGAAGGTAGAAGCGAGCTCCAACTGATATGTCAATCCTATGTGGATTGGCATATGAGAAAATGTGATGTCAATTTTTTTATTTTATTTTATTGTGTGGGTCTCATTAATGCACCAATTATAGATCTTGAAAATGTATTTTAATTGATTTCTTTTTAAAATGGGTCTTACAAATATCATTTATAACAAAGAAACATATCGGTTGGAAAAAAAGAAAATCTGACATTGCCACGTCAGCTATCAAATTAACATTTGACATTAATCTTTTGACATCTCCTTTGGAGATGCTTAGTCATTGTTGGAACATATTCGTTTCAACAATTTAAACTGAGTGATAGAAACAAGGACCGTTAGGCATATGTCGATGCTAAATTTTTGTAGGCACACAGAAAATTTGATTCAAATGAATCCATTGAGAACAACTTACATTACTTATGTATACTGTCGCGTAACATCTCGTGTCAATGAAACAAAGATGTACGAATAATAATTTACACATAATTTTATTTCATTGATACATGACACAGCATGATGGTGTATAAGTGTCATATACGTCATTTTCATACTAATGATCCTTTTCAGTTTTTTATTTTATTTTATATTTTTATATATAGTTTTTGGCTTTTTAATATAAGAGGCATTTCATTACATATTAATGACAACTAATCCTCATCTCCATACAGCTCCACATGTACCACATGAGATAATATTATATATCTAACGCATGGGTCAAACGATACGTCGAAACAGAGCGGATGATTCCAAAAAATGCACGAAATAATTCAGTTTTTTTGTTATGACTTCAATAAGAGGCAGCTAGCACACAGACGTTGATAAGTTGGTGGAAATAGATAAGAACAGTGTGATGAACTGATATGACTGATGAGAATATAACATATATTAATGCAGAGGTAACTGCAGAATTATGATATGCAATTAGGGAGGGGGAAGTTCACATTATCTGACATGCAAAGCAGGTGGTGGTTGTGAATTTTATGTCAACCCTTCTCTCTGTGATGTGCAAAACGGGTGGGAGGACAAGTCAACGACGAACAAACGCGCGTTGTTGCTCACGTTTTTGGGTTAAAACGCGCGTTATGACAAAATCATCCGCTTGGCAATTGCGGACTTATCGATGCATGCAAGTAACACAATGACAAGATAATTCGTTAAGTTTAGGAGATAATTAGGTTATACTGATAAGGTCAAAAATGTCAGAAGGTCCTCAATACATTGAGCTAGCTTGTTGTAAACGCCAAGCTTGATCGACTAATAGCGTCTGTTAACCACCTCAAAAATTATGAATCTGGATTCTCATCAAAATAATCCGAAGAGGATTCTGTTAGTTATTATATGATTAGTCATCTAAAAGGTTAAACTTGGCCAATGAGGGATGATTTAGTTAGTAAAGATCGTTCTTTTTGCTAGACCAAGAGTGAATTTACGGATCTCTATGATCCTCACCAAAAGAATCTAGAGATGATCCTATTGGTTATTATATGATTAGCCATATAAAAGGTTAAGCTCGGCCAATGAAGAATGATTTAGTTAGGAAAGATCGTTCTTTTTGCTAGACCGAAAGTGAATTCTAATCCCATTGTCGGCAATTTCTCTTAATGGGTGATCCGTAAAAACCAAAAAATGGGCTAAGACTCTTTGCAGCTTGTGGTATGCCCTAACACTAAGATGGAGTAGTTTCCCCTCCTCCTAAACTTCTTGTTACCAAAAAAAAAATGTTAAGCTCAAGCTTAAGTACCAACCCTTAACCAAATTCTTGAGGTAGGGTAAAGTAAGTTGTTATTTTGTAATAATCATATAAGCACCAACCCTTAACCAAATCCTTGCAAAATTCATTGAGATTTTAATTATTTTTTATAAACTAAATTATAAACATGAAATATTATCACCTTTTTTTTAAGTTGCAAAATAAAGAGGTGGATAAAGCAAACCCTTCAACCAATGTAAGATTCCTGTCATAAAATGTAAAAAAATTATAAAGTGACTATAAAAGAAAAATTACAGAACCGAATATAAGTATTAGCTTTTGTCAAGATTTTAGAAAGATAAGTAAGCGGCTCACAACTAACCAACCTAATATTGACAATCAACTTACATCTTATAATTTATTTTACATGTACGTTACGGCACGTGTATTATAATTTATTTTATTAATTTTCCGATGCAAAATTCTTGAAGTTTAAACATTATGCATGTGCAATTTATAAGTCATAAAGTTGACATCATGTGCAGATTTATACAATTTGTGAAGTGCATGCATCAATTCTAATATACCAAAAATAATACATTCATCAAACATAGTGCACACCACCTGCACAAACTCACACGGAAGGTTTTTTAAGACAAAAAATGTACATTTTAGGCAATGTATTGATGGTGAATGAGTTGTACTCCTAAATGGCAATAGAATATTTCCTAACTTAAAGCTCAAGAAAAATATAAACATTACAATATGAAAATGGAATAAAATTTGTTTAATATGCATCTAAATTAGGCTTGACAATTTATTGTATGACCCTTTTTTTTGTCAAACGATATATTTTGTTAGATTAAATGTTAGATTAGCCATCACTAACAGGGTTTGAATTCACGTCGTTATGAAAAGCCTCAACACCTTTCCACCATTGTGATAAAGGGCCATTTGCACGACCTGTTAATTCAACATGAACAAACATGAAAATAATAGATTTGGGATCAACGTGTTAACAAGTCGGGTCATTATCAAGTCGTCTGTTACAAACCCGTTAAAGAGTTGGGTTGTTATCAAGTAACTAGTTAAGAACCCGATTAGACATTGTCTACTAGATCTAGAAATTAAGAATCACAATTTTTTGCATGACCCGTTAGCCTGACACGAAACTATATGACATGTTAACGGATCAAGTCGTTATCTGGTCACTTGTTAAAAACTCATTATAATAACAAGTTTGATACGACACCAACATGTATGACACAAATACAACACAAAATCTTAGTCGTTTCAGTATTATACACTGAAACATGATGAATTTTTTGAGTGAATTACGTTACAAACCTTTTTGTTTATATTATATATATATATATATATATATTTTTTTTTTTTTTTTCACATTACCAAACCTTTCTCTAACCCGATACGGTAGATACAAAATCTTATCTAACACCAAAACATGAAAAATAAAAAAAAAATTAGACAAAACAACAATCAAACCGCAGAAGATCACGAGAGCGAATTACAGCCGTTGATTGGGTTTTTTTGGACAGCGGTTAATTCGCGAAGTCCAACCTCTCCCTAATCCAACGGTGCGAATTACACAACACGCAGATAGAGAGGCTGAACGATTTCTCGATTGTCCATCAAAAATCAAAACTTTTCTCTCTTCCCAGGACACCATCTCTGACGACTGACGGTCTTCCTCCGTCTCTGCTTCGATCCTAACGACGTCGTCGTGGTCTCGTCGTGATTCGCCGAACCAAACGCTCTGTTCCGCCGGATTTACTTCGTCTGGGTATTTTTTTGCGCTGTTGAGAAAAAAACAGAGAGAGAGAGAGAGGGGGAGGGGAATTGACCGTTGAAACACCGGCGTATCGGAATTTAGGGTTTTGAGGGCTGGATTTGGGGGTTTCTATGGGGCTCGGCAGTGATGAAGAGGTTGTGGTTGACGAAAGCGATGGCGGTGGCGATGGCGGTGGTTGTGGTGGCAACTCGTGCGGAGGCTCTGTTTCCTGCTCGATTTGCCTTGAAGTCGTCGCCGATAAAGGGGATAGATCTTGGGCCAAGCTGCAATGTGGGCATCAATTTCATCTAGGTGAGTCAAAATTGAATCGGTTGGAAGTTTCGTTTTTTTTTTTCTAACTGCAATTTCAAAGATCCGGGTTCAAAATTGGTTTCTGATTTCGCAATTATGTTGGATTTTGATTTTTTCGGTGATGGGTTGTTTGATTGGTCAAGAATTGAGGAAAGATAAGAAATTTAAAAAAATAAAAAAAATACGAAACTTAAACTGAATTTTGCTTCCTTTATTAAAGCTTTGGTTTTGTTGGGTTGTCATTGTTTGTCTTGTTCTGAACTTACATATATTTTATATATATATTTTTCATTTTATCAACATTATTAATCTGTTGCTTATGCAAGATATGATGATGATATCTTTCTTGCAGAACCATGTAGTTGGATTTCTACGTTTCAATTTCTTGTAATTTCATTCAATGGATAGAACCAGAATTTGTACTGGAAGATGCGGAATCGATACAATATGTCAATGAAAATGAAGTATTGTTTTGCATGATGGTCTCTTGAATATTTTTCTTTGAAACCAGTGGAGGTACTGGAACTGGATACTTTGGGAGATTTGATTTCTCTGTGAACCTGCAATTAAGTGAAATATATAACAGGTTTCTGTACTCCCATTGTCGAAAGTGCAGTGTTGACAACCTGAATTTGTATGGCATTGAGAGCCTATAGTGTCATAATTTAGTCACAGGTTCAGTAGATCATTCTTCAGATTACTTTGATAAACTTTGTCTTTGTATACTTGATATAGAATTATTTTGATATTAAAGATGACATTTAGATATCCCCAATAGCAATTTCTTTCATTTGGTAGCTCAAATCATCTCATATCAGCAAGTGGAGTTGCATGTTTGCTGAGGCATAGCTATATAGTTCTTACAAGGGCATAAGTTTAGTTATGCCTTTTCAGTAAAAATGATATGGAGCTTTCATGTTTCTTGATTTTTTTGGTGACGTCCTTTCAGATTGCATTGGTTCAGCCTTCAATGTAAAGGGGGCAATGCAATGCCCTAATTGTCGGAAAATCGAGAAAGGTCAATGGCTTTATTCTAATGGATGCCGTTCATTTCCGGAATTTAGCATGGATGACTGGACACATGATGAGGATCTCTATGATTTAAGTTATTCTGAAATGGTAAATAGTTTGGATCCTTTTTTAATTTAATGTTCTGTTACTTTTTGTGAATATTCAATTTTTGTACTCAAACACAAACTCTAGTTAATGGTTTTCTATATGCTGACATTATCGTTATGGCCCTTTGTTCATGTTTAGATACTGTCTCTGTGGGTTCATCTTAGTTATGACAAATAGTAAGGTTGTAAACAATATATAGATTAACTTACCTGATAGAATCAATATAGCATCAAAAGGAAGTTCTGCTTCAAAGGCTAGGATAACCCATTCCTTATTAAAGAGTGCATTCCCTTCAAGCCAAGGGCCATGCTTCTAGATTGTCCTTGTATGTATGTTATTTATTAGGAATAACATCTGCATAGTAAAGCTTAACAAAAGCAGAAATAGTTGACTTGCTTCAGATATTTATTGCTATTCTTAACACATAGGCAAAATCTCAATTTTCTCTCTTGCTAGTGGTGAGCCATCACCTCAGCTTATAGCCTTACAGGAGGTAACCTACTTTCTGCCTCAGGAAATGGATGTCTATTTTGCGTGTAAGCAAAATAGTTTGGCTGGTGGGTGATTTTTGTCAATTCTGAAGTTAGTGATGATATTGAGGAGCAAACTCTAAAATTGGTTACTAGGCAGAGTCCAGTAAGCTGACAATTATTAAGGTGAAAGAGCGTGAACGGATTAGGTAAGATTTTAGTGTGTAGTAGTAGTACTATCAATAGACAATTCAGTTGAAGGGTCTATAACAATTATAAGGCTTCCATTGCCTTCAAATCTGTAAAGGAACAAAGTGGAATGGAAGAGAACCAAAGGCGGCCTCTTATTGTTTGTTGGCTGTTTATTTTCTTCCCATTACATTTGAATCGAAGAGTGGAACCCAGGGTCGTCTCTGAGATTTTGGGGGCCCTATGCGAAACTTATAAAGGGGCCCCTCCTTAAGATGGTCTTCCAAAAAAATTAAGACAGCGTATTGATGCTCGAAAGCAATAACTTAAGGTAAAACAAACTGCAGGACTCACACTGATTATAAGTTTTCAATTATCATTAAATAATAAGTAAAAAGATCTACAAACGTCAACTGAATAATCAAAAGCAATTCGGTCTTAAACAACCAAACAAACAAAAAAAAGCTTCAAAAACTCTACAATAAAGTTTCACTTGAATATATAGCTGGATAAGAAATGATAGAATTTTATTAAAACAATACAAGGAATTACAATAGGTGGATAAGAAATCCACCAACTAGAAAAACTAGCTAAGACCTTTCAACCAGGACTACTTTACTAGGAACTAAACTAAACCAACTTCATTTTATGGCTGCTAATACATCCGTCACTACATGGGAAAGACAATAATCCATGAACTCATTCGAAATTGATGCCCAGTATCTAACTCTATCCCATAGTTCCTCTACTTCCACTCCCTTATAATCCTAAAAAATTCTTCTATTACGCTCCAACCAAATGTTCCAAAAAACTACCAACACCAAACAGCCCCACAAAGCTTTAGCTTTCTTACCCTTCCATAAATCCTCGAACTTGGTGGTTAGAAGCTTGAAACATCCCCCTGGAATGACCCAACTAGCTCTAACTTCCTTGAACAATTTCCATCACAGCTGTATCGAGTAAGAACAATGGAGATAAACATGGTCAACACTGTACTCTCTGATTTACACAAACTGCACCACTGAGGAGAAATGCAAATAAAGGGCCTTCGCTTTTGAACCTGGTCACAGGTGTTGACCTTCCCAATAGCCACTAACCACGCTAGAACTTTGACTTTTGGAGGAGCTTTTGATTTCCAAATCTGAGAATAGGGTGGAAAATGTTGCAGATATCCATTGTTGCACAAGGAGCTATAGGATTTGCAAGCATCTCATTATGCATTCCAAATTTTTATATTTAGAAAGAAAAAATGTACACTTATGAAGAGTGCACAATGAGAATTTGTAGTGCTATGAAAGCACCTTTTCTTAACATATAACATTATTATATATATACCAGATGGCAAAAAAATTTGGGGCCCTATGATAGCATCTTTCACTCCCCCCCTTTCCTCCCCCTCCTCCCAAAAGCCGCTACTGGCAAAACCTTATGAAGAGTAAATGGATGAACAATTGTAGATGGAGTCCACCTAGAATTCTTCATGTGAAGTAGTAGTACCATGTGAAGAAGTTTGATACCTCTGCATTTATTTCGTCTCATGAGTAGCTTTCCACATAATTGTAAGGACAATGTAATGTCTTCTGCATGTTATTCTGTGTTGGATAGTATTAAATCCAAGTGACATGTTCTGACTTTCAAGTTCTATGTCGTGTGTGTATAGAAAAGATAAAGACTTATAAACTGATGTGCTGTATAGACTACAGTGTAAAAATGTCGTTTGTCATTTTGATATATTGTTTGTATATGAATGCTTTTTGCAGTCCTTTGGTGTGCACTGGTGTCCATTTGGTAGCTTAGCACGACTTCCCTCATCATTTGAGTAAGTGATCTCATTTGCTAAAGCTCATGTTTAAATTTATGTTTGCTGAAGTTTCTTTGCTGTAGTTAGCATTTAGTTTCTTGGGTTCAAAGGATACCAGTTTCCTTAGGCTTTTAGGCTCTTAAGAAACTTGATTTTGGCCTATGTCAATAGCTTGCCAAAATCGAGATTGAGTTGAGATATGCGTTGAGATGGGGATTCAAGATCTCAAACCCCATCTTGATTCACATAGATTACAGCTTGGTCCTTTCAAGTTTAAAGCAGTTGAAGTTTTCAAGTTTGTTTCAAAAGGGGTTAGTATTCCAATGGACTCCTGCAAAGTGGTACCTTGACCCCAACATCTTTTTTGTTTGTTATAGTAGCAAGTTTGAACAGAAAAACATTCGTATTGATCTTTGCAATAAAATATTCCTCCTGGTATATGTGGCTAAATGGATTCAATTCTGGGGACTTATTTTTACCACCCCAGTGCTTTTCTTAATATAACTTCAGTGATGCTGCTAATTTTGCTTATTGGCTGGGTTAGCAAATCATGTGGAATCGTATTAACATAAAGTGTTATTCCCAGTTGACCTTTATTTCTCTGTTGTACACGTTTGGGCGCAGTTGCGTTTTCCTGGGAAGTTACATGAAAGTACTGAGCCCCATCGTCTGATTATTTTCTATCTATAAAGAGTCTTTTATTATCCTTCTACGTGGTCACAGTTATTTGTGGTTACTCCATTTATATTTTGTTTCCATGGTTCCTATATGCTTATAAGTTTCAGAAGAAAAAAAAAAATGAGAATTTGGTTTTCGACTGGGTGCTTGCTATTTGGACTTCATAATGTATTTGTTGTATCATTTTACTCTTGTATCTTTATGTCTTTCAAGTTTTAGAAATTTGTTAGGGGTTGAAAAATAGATTTCAAATTTGGTACTATCCTAGTCTGGATATTATGAGATATGACCTTGCTGGTCCATATTGCCGGATAAGCGACCAATTGAGAAGTTTTTATAAATATTAAAGCAAATCATATAACATTTAAATGCATGTGTTCTGAAAGAAAAAATATGAATATATTGTAGACATGCAGCACGTTACATTTTTAAATACGAAGGTTTAAAAGTTTATTTTTACTCGCAAGCTATTCATGTACACGGTGAGGGTGTTGCGGGGAGGAGGAGAGGAGTTCAAATAGAAAAAAATAAAAACAGAATCGCCTCTATATATCAACTATTTATTACATGCGGACGTTCGTTTTTCATTTTACTTGCTATTCAAGTTTAATATTTTCTCCTATACATTGAACATTTTTTTTCTTCACAATTAACAGGGAAGGGGAGTTTTCACCACCATCATGTAAGACTTCTTGTCATTTTAAGTTGTGATATTCTATTCTGGCATTGTGGAGGATTATAATACAATGTGATATTCATATGATTAAATGTTGTCATGCAGATCATGAATTACTTGGACAGCATGCTATCTTCGCTGAGCATACAGCTGTATCATCTGCTGCCCATCCTTGCCCATATATCGCTTACCTTGGGCCAATTCACCCTTCATCCTCAAACTCCAGTGGAAATGTGTCAGAAGCTTCCAACTTCAACCATCATTGGAGCAGCACATCTGTACCTAGTGAAATGCCCAACTCCTATGCTTTTCCTGCCATGGATCTTCATTATCACAGTTGGGAGCATCATTCCCCGCCTCCATTCTCTACAACCAACAATCATATTGGTGGCGCCGACCAGGCTTCAGTTCCATCTGTTACTCAAAGATCTGCTAGGCCGAGCGCAGATATACCAAGATCAGGATCTCTTATGCATCCATTCCTTGTCGGTCACAGGTATGCCTTTGACAAAATTTCAAGGTGTTTTTAGATAGTTTACATCCTTTTTTTCTAAATGAAGCAATTTTAATTGGTTGTAGTTTAGTTTCTAGAAAAGTTAATCACACCAGCAAGATCATTCATGGTTCTCAAATTTATCATTGAATTTGTTTAACGATACGAGATTACACAAATCTCTCTCAATACAGTGCTGCATAACATGCTTATATATAATAGAAGTGTTATGTTTATTGAATAATTTGTGTTTGCTTCCTGCGGTTCTAGTGCTAGAGCTGGCAGCTCAGTCACTTCGTCGATGATTCCTCCTTATCCTGGCAGCAATGCACGGGCCCGCGACAGAGTCCAAGCTCTTCAGGCATATTATCAACAGCAACAACCTAGTAATTCACCAACCATGCGTACGCCCATAGTTCCAGGAGCCCGGAGATCCAGCAGTCAAAGAGGGGTAGCTCAAGTAGGGCCAGTGGCTTCATCATCAGACCAAAATGGTGGTTTCTATTTTTTCCCATCCGGTTCATCAGGTCGTAACTACCAAGAAGCTGAAAATCCGTTGCCTAATCGTTTTCATCCATGGGAAAGAGATCACATGCCTTCATTCTCGATGAATCAGGTAGACCGAGATCAAGGTTGGTCTGCTTTTAACCAAGGTGGCAGTGGTTCAGACTCAGCCATCAGAGGGAGCAGCTTCCGGCAAAGGCATGGGTCCGAGAGGTCATCCTCACAAAACCGGTCATAGGCTTTTCTCCTTATCCTTTTGTTGGTGAAGCAAACTACCGCTATCTATAACTGAAATCAAAAGTTATGTATGCTTGAAAACGATATATAATGCTTGGCGTCTTGTCAAGTCATGACAAGACGCCAAAATACTGTCAGTGTGGCTCGGAAAACGCTCCCTTTGCAGCCACATGGTGGTGTGATGGACATAACATTCGTCTAGTTTGTTCGCCGTCAGGGGTATGAAAATAAGCTCATTGTGGATGGCAAAGTTATGATTCGAGTGTGTGCTTGGCCGTATTTTATGATTCTCGGGTCATCTGCAAATGTCCCGGTTTTTATCTGGATGACCAGAACCAACTTTTGTTCAGGATAAGTAATGAGTGGGTCATTTATTTATGTCCGAAAACATATATTCCTGCAGTGCTTGGTTTCCTTTTGAATAATTGTTGGATGGATGTACATGAAATCAAATATTTTCAGTTACTCTACTGCCAATTGCTTGTATAAGTTGGCAACTAAAACAAATAATCTGCTTTTCACTGCAGATAAAAGTTAATTATTTATATTATATTTGATGCAGTGCGATCCAATTCCAATGAATTTGGATCCAGGATGAGTTAAAGCAAGTCATCAGATTCAATTTGAGTAGTACAGATTGTCTTGTCTTTGGGCTCCGGACAGTAAGAACCAAAGTGGACCTCTGTCCAATTCCAGTAACTGTTTAACTAGGGGCCAAGGCCTTGTTTCGTAGTGGGGATACGGCATATTGACAGTAGATGAGAACGATTTTTCATTTTAAATAAAGGTTATCTATCTAGTCCACGATTTTGATGAGCATTCGGATCGATCAGTTTTCTTCGTGAGTAATTCATCTCCGACCTTCAAGATTTTGGTCACAAATATGCGAAACGTTTAAGGTACAATGAACGATAAGACCATTTCTAATTCAGAAGATTGCGTTAGCAACGCAACTGCGGGACATACACAAACCAATTCAGCTACAGACAGCATTGTCAAGAAGATCACTTTTAATACACAGACTTCATAGATGCAAATCACGACCGTTCAAGGTACGTCCTAATCTGAATCCGAATGTGTATTATAGTACATCAAGTTCTTAACTTCCGTCTCTGAAGAGACAAACGATACTCAAGATGGCGTCTGGAACCTACAAAGACGCTTCCTTCAGAGCTCACCTGGAAATCACAACCATAGTTAGTAGCTGATATGCAACTACTTAAATCAGCCGCTTATTAGGTAAAAAGTGCGGATAACAAGTATTGACTGAACAAGCGGAGTAACAATCAGGAAAATTTTCAGCATTACCGTGCATAAGGCGAAAGAGACTCAGATAAGCTTCTGGATCTTGACCTCGGTCTGCTCAGAGTCCTGGGACGAGGCTGCGAAGCAACTACTTTTGTTATTAGGAGCATAAAAATAGAATGCATTTTTATGATTCACTTTGTTTTCCATATTATTTCCTTTTTAATTCAACACAAGATGAAACAGAGCGAAAACGGAACTTACAGAAGAGTTTGGAGACCTAGATCTTGTCCAAGATCTGCAATATTTCCAAGAATCCAAGTTAATATCCACAACACTATCCTTTACTATTGACCTAAAGGCTTACCGTAATTCGAAACGTAGAAAAGTAAAAATCATAAACCTTTATCTTCAGATGCTCTACACCAAGCACCCCATGATCTTTCCAGCAGGTCTTAAAGTTTAAACCAATCAACAACAGTCAGAAATAAAAATACCAGAATCACACAAAATCTAATCCTGCGTGAAAAGAGGAAAAAATTCCACTCATCATTGTCGTAATTTAGTGAACGTAGAAGTTCTGAGCTCTATGCTTCCCCAACACTGATTTGTGGTTTTTGGTAGCTATAGCATGTGTTCGACAGCAATCCATCTTTAGAACTGAAAACTATTAAAATTATTTTCATTTAGATTTTTTATATTTTTTTTCCAGAGGTGCTCATCAACAAAGTCCCGTTACCTCAACTAAGAGTTGTAGGCATGAGCACCACATCCAGTCCCCAGATCTCCGCAAAAGCCAGATCTGGCAAGAAAGAAGGAAACCTTCATGAACAGGTTATGATAACTGGCTAACCTGCTAAAAACCCTTTAACCCCTTTACACCATCGAAAACTTAGGACAAATGATTTTGTACACCAAGTTTGTGGGAGTGCTAAATATATTTTTCAAAGAACGTGATAACATGACATGTAAACTTCAAAATAGACATGAACGTTAACATCATTTTTCCAAATAACATACTCCGATTTGTTCTAAATAATAAAAGAGATGGAAGATAACAGCCTCACACCCTTTTCCAAAATAATACACTCGGAAATTTTTTTAAAGGTAAAAGAGGTGGGAAACACTCGATTCCTGTAGAACAAATCTAAAGGATTTGATAATTTGAAGTTATGGCAACTAGATAGGAAACGTAAAGATATGGCTGGCCTGTATGCCAGAAACTTCCAAGATCGAGAACCCATCATGAACAAATTTAATTTGAAGTTTTCTTCACATGTATAAACACAATTACGCGTCTGACCCACAATAAAGCAAAAGCTAAGCACTTGGCCATTATAGCAACACAACTACTCAGTTGAAATGAGTAATCCAAACATATTGGTAGTTTTCTTCTCCAAAAGAAAAAAAAAAAAAAAACATATTGGTAGCTGTTCTGAAAATTTAAGCTAGAGCTCAATGATGAGTAAAGCATTAAGGTTATGGATGTCTATATACATAATACTCAACTACCAGAAAACAGAAAGAAAACGTAGGAGAAACACTAATTTGACGTTTAAAAAAAAAAAAAAAAAAAAAAAAAAAAAAAAACTAGAAAGCAACTACTAGAGAAAAGGTAAGCAAGGGGTAGAACATATTTGAATTACAATTTAGCAATGCGAAGAGAAAGAAAGACCACAAACAATTGTTTATGTGAGGAAAAAATGACATCCCCATCAAAATACAGTAAACTCGTTGATTATACCAAAGAAGAAATAGTTAAAGAACTTTTAGGTAGCATGTGGGTACCTTGAGCGGGAACGTGGGCATGTTGCCTCCGGTGATATGCTGCAACAAGAGAACCTTTGTCAAAACCGCACTGTCCAAAAGTAATATACCTACCTAATGCAAACGTAAAACCAATCTGGACCTTCTGCTCCGGCCACCATAGCTATAGCTGCGGCTGACACTTGGACTTCTTGACATATATGGAGTACGACTGGGGCTTCTAGAGTAGCTCCGTCTATAGTCATAACTGGGGCTTCTGGAATAGCTACGCCTAGAATCGTACTCCCTCACCTGTACATAGAAGAAGAAAATCCAAAATGACATAAGTGGAATCTCGGACTCAGCACAATGTGCACATCAAATATAAGTCAAAGTTAAAATAATACCCGTATGTAAGAGCGATCAAAGGCATTTCTGAATTCAGAGTCATCAAGTTTTCTGATCTGCAGAGCACGCTGAATCAGACAAAATCAAAAGAACATTGCAATGTATCATCCTTTCAGTATTTTAACTTACAGCATATTTCATATCCTCGTAGTTTGTGTAGTCTACAATTCCCGTCATGCCTACAAGAGTATTGTAAAAAAAAAATCTAATAAACACAACGACCATACAATTTCAACAAAATAAAAGTACATAAAAGGAAAAAAGTACATGTTCCGAGCTGATGAATCTGGAAAATAAAAGGACACAAGAACTTAATCAACTCACCACCACGGTCACGGAACACTTGTGAAAAACAGACATCACCAGCTCGACGCATGTGATCCTGATCATCAAATACAATTAGCTATAGTTAAGTCATATGATAAAAACATTTCAAGTATCTAATCTTACAATATTTTAATGCAATACCAGAAAACATATGTACATGAAGAGCACACATTTACAGAATAAAAGTAGGTTCTTACTTTCAGATCCTGCCACGAAACAGAAGGAGGCAATCCAGTGACCAGTACTGCACATGGGAGTGAAAATAATAAGTTCAATGAATTCAACTCCAAAAAGATACAAAAATTATTTTAACTCGCTCCATACCACGATAGTCAGAGCGCCGGGAAACACCACGGCTACTGCTACTACGACTGTAACTGCTATAGCGATCTGATGAGGAGTGTCGGCCACCATGTGCTAATTCAACCTATAAGCCAGATAAAAATATTAACACAAAGAGAGAATAAAGTAATATGCACCAAGTAGAAATGGTACATAGAAGATGCAATCGAAGAAAGCATGACTAACCCGTAAACGAAACCCATCAAAGTCATACCCATCCCGGCCGTAAATTGCATCATCAGCATCACGAGGATCTTCAAACTGCAATTAAGCATCGAATTTGAAAGCATTACACAAATATCAGGCAACAAAACATAAGTTATTCGCCAACAGTCACGTGCAGCTCTAAATTTAAAACATATATCAAGCAACTTTTCAAACAAAAAAAAAAAAAAAAAAAAAAACTCCATGCAAATGAAATTTAAACTTACTTCAACAAAAGCATAACCTGGCGGTCTCGGAGGGATTTTGAGATCAATGTCAACAATTGGCCCATACTGCAATTTACATTGAACTATTAAAGGCAGATACAAACTAAAGAATTTGCAGGTAACATTTAAATTAGGGCAAGCATCAAAAATTAAGAACTGAATTTTTTATTTTTTTTTATTTTTTTGAACAAACAATATTATTTAGAGTAAACGGGTTGGGGAGTGGACTAAGCCTCACAATGTGCTAGCAATAATGAGGTTCAAATTCATCTTTGGCGAGAATCTAATCTAATCTAAGACGGAATTTCACTGGACCGTATTACAACTGAATTAGGGGAAGCCCAAAAAATTTCTACCGAAAATCAAAATGGATACATAAAAATTAAATAAAAAAACCATTTTCTGCGTGAAAAATAAAATAATGATTGTCCATGCAAAACCTAACAAAAATAAATTAACATTAAACCTAACAAATTGTTCATCTTATTAAGAAACAAAATGGATAGAGATAAGAATTTTATTTTCACACATAAATACATCGAAAACTAAACACTCATCAGAAAATAATTATAACTTTCAATTAAAATTGTGAAAAAAATGCGACCTTGAGAAACAAATCTTCAACTTCTCTCATACGAATATCTCCGGGCAGATTGCCCACGTATATAGTGCGACTCGATCGTCTGCTCATTTTTTCTCCCCTGAAAAAAATCAGAATTACATAACCATAAAAATAAAAATCCAAACTTTAATCTGTTCATAAAAAATAAAATAAGGTTTATTTACCCTTAATTCAGAGATTGCGGGGGAAGAGAGGGAGGGAGGGAGGAGAGAGAGGGAGGATATGGGTCAGTTATGGTCTGATAGAGTTGGGAGTTTTCTGAAGACTGGAGAGTTTTGAGAGCTTCTGGAAGAATCCGGATCCTTCCCGAACTCTTTGAACATCCAAAATTCGTAAATCATGTTTTGTACGTTAAAAAATTATTTTAAACATTTTTATCATACGATATATGCATTTTTAATGCACAATTTACGAATGGTAAACATCCTCACCAAGATGATCCGGTTGGCTTGAAAGGAGGGAGGAGGAGAATAAAGGGGGTGCAAGATTGTGTGTTTCCCGTGGTTGTACGGTTATACACGTGGCGTTAGATCAACTGGCAGAATAAGATGCGTGTACGGTCACCGATCTATCAGAACCTTTAAATTACTTAATTTGACAGGAAAATAGGGTGGTGTTGTTGTGCATTCCAAATGTTTTATGTTTTGAAGAAAAATCTGTATTATTTAGTAGAATTTTCTTTGTAATTAAAAGAGTATGAAGAAAAAAATTATTAGAAAGTGACGGAATTCAGCAACAGTCGCTAAATCTATAAATAGTCTCCTTAACAACAAAAAAATATTTAAAAGTCGTCCCTTAAAAGCTTAACGACCAAAATTATTTATATTTTAGTTTTTTTTTTATAAATTTTTATATCTATAAAATAACAGTTGCTAAATCTATAAATGGTCTCCTTAACGACAAAAAATTATTTGAAGGTCGTCCTTAAAAAAAGCTTAGTGACCAAAATCATTTGTATTTTCTTTTTTTTTTGGTAAATTTTTATTTTTCTATAAGAGTAATGATATTCATATCATGTTTTTATATCATATTTCTATACCATCTTAGGTAGCATTTGATGTGAACAGCCACATCATTATTTGAAAAATTTGCAAAACCCAAAGAAATGAAGAGAAAACTTCTCGTATACTACAATCATCATTTAATTAACTAATTTTTTTAATTATTAATTTATTAAATAATGAACTAAATTTAAAAATTTAATTAATTTAAATGATATAACTATCTATATCAAATGCTAATATAAAAACATAATAGGAATACCAACGTTACTCTTCCTATAATATTTACGGCGGTATTGACCAAAAAGACAACGAGTTTGACCAGGATAGGAAACATATGAAAAATATGGGACACGTGTATCCCACTACCGCACACCTCGCCCACCGATTCGCAAGCACACAACTTCGATTTTATTTCCGCGTCCTCGTAAAACCAAAAGTCGCCGCCACCACCACAAGACCACAACTTCAAAACGCCCTTCAATCGTTTTCTCTCTGCAAAGGAAAAGAAGAAGAAGAAGAAGAAAGTATCTCTCAACAATGTCGGAATCCAAGAGCAAGGTCGATTCTCTCAGGGAATGGGTTGTCGAGCACAAGCTTCGATCCGTTGGTAAATTTCCCTGCTTGTTCTTCGATTTTTATTGGAAAACGCAATATGTTTTTGTATTTTCTTTGGTTTAATCGCATTTAGGGATTAAATACGTGTTCTTAATTGAATTATTTGATTCGGGTTCGAGTTTTGTGATCTGGGTTTTCAAATTTTGATCGATTTCGGCATCCGTCTGTATCATATTGGTGAAAAAAAATCTGTCCTTTGGCTTTAATTCCAAATTTCCAATGTAATTTATTGATATTGTGGTTCAGCTTTTGACAAATTTGTTTTTCCTTTCCATAACGCTTGCAGGTTGTCTATGGCTAAGTGGAATTGTGGGTTCGATAGCTTACAACTGGTCTCAGCCCGGCATGAAAACCAGTGTGAGGATCATTCACGCCAGGTAGTTTTCCAACTTGTGGATTCTTAGTTTCTTTTTCGACCGATAGCTATGTGCAGATTTGCTATTTTGTGAATATTTGCGTTTACTTAATGGGTTAGGACCGGGGACACCCATTGTTTTGACACACATTTTGACACATTGTTTTGATAAGCATGATCGTTGAGAGAACACCTAAAGATGGATGGTTTAGATTGTTGAAATACATTACGGCGTGTGCCTACAAAATGTGTGTCGAAAAATGGGTGTCTCTGGATCCTAATCCTTAATTTATAACTTTATGCGAAACAGGTAGGTCGATCTTTCACTAAATGTTGTTGAGGCAAGAGTTTAGGGTTGCATACTCGTTTGAAGTCGAAAGAATATTTGAACCACGGGAGCTTGTGCACATTTCTGATGATTAAATGATACTATTTGTAGTTTGTAATGTGAATGAGTGTATGCCATCTTGTTTGGCGTTCGGCTATCTCTCTTTGAACTGGATGTCAATCTATGCCTCAAACTATGCCCCTTCCGGTATTCCCTACCCTGCCAGTGCTATTTGTCTCTTAAGTCCTGTCCATAGGTGGCCCGGGTATGAAAGTTAATGCCTTGATCAGGATTGCCATTCAGCTATAAATTTTATTGACTGGTATGATAGAATTAGTGATTTTCTCCTCCCAACAAAGTCGCTGGACGGAATACCAAAAAAATTGGACCTTTGTATTATAATTTATGTGAGAATGAATTCTGGCGTGCATGTATCATTGTTCCCGAATTTGACAAAAAAATAACAATGCATTGAGTATAGAGTGTTTAAGTTTTCAGTGTCACTGAACTCTTGCTAATTTGATTGTGGAGGTCCAGATTGAATTCTCATTGTCAGTTATTCTGGTTATAACTTTTCTTCCCCATGTCAACCGGGAATTCTCCCCTAATTCTTGTTTGCATTCACATAGACTACTTGTGTTTCATTTCTGACTTCTTACTCCTCGATGTTGTTCAGGTTGCACGCACAGGCTCTGACGCTCGCCGCATTAGCCGGTGCAGCAGTGGTCGAGTACTATGACCACAAAACTGGAGCAAAGCATGATAAATACGCGAAGTACTTCCCAATTGAGAACTTTAACAAGGATTAAGCAAGGCGTGCGACGACCCTTCATGGGGTAACTTCCAATCCCATATAGCATGGCATGGCCTTGTGGAAGTTTTGCTAAAAAATAGTTGGAGGATAATAAACACTTTTTGGAACAGCCTTTCTTCAACCTTTATTATTTATTTTTTTTGTTTGTAATAATTATTGTATTTGGTTGCCATTAATGTATAACTTTGTTTGTAATAATTCCGGCATCGGGATTTCCCTGCTACTGATTTCCAAATATGTTGTAATTAGGCCTCGGCCTTTCTTAATTCATTTGCTTTCTTGTTTGTTCTGTTTCTTGCTGCACAGTCTAAATATTTATTCTGAGTATGACTACTTTCGTTTCGTGAATTGATCATTTGTCGGTGACACATAGCGAGAGGCCGTTGTAGGGGATTCAACCGTCAGTGGTAGGTTTTCAGGTCAATCATGCAATGCTATGTGTTTTTAACTTTTTTTATACAGCTAGGCATGATTGGTGTGGATATTGTTCCCGCGGCATTCCTGTTGCACAGAATTCTTCTCTATTGCTATTGGTTTAGTGGAAGTATGCCGAGATGTATGATGAACATGAAATTTTGAATATTATTTTGAAGAAAATCATAAACTCAAAACTGCATGAACTTTTGAATATTATTTTGAAGAAAAACATGAATTATCGTATCTTTTGTTAAAAAAAAAAAAGGGTTCCGAACAACACAAACGTGACCACACGCCAAGAAATTAATCAGAGTGGAAAACTAAAAAACAAAGTACTTTCTAGTTAAAAATCAACAAACGACTAGCTAGCACTAAAGATTTAAACAGGAGTTACAACGCTGACTCTTAACTTGTTCTTGCAATCCAGCAACCTTCCATCGATGCGCACTTTCTTGTAGTCTTCAACCCTTTCATCGACCCACGCCCTCTTCTTGCACTCCACCGGCTTTCCGTCGGCGCGAAAAGCTCTCTTCTTCTTGTTGTAATTCACCCACATTCCATCAATCCAGTCCTCATGAAACATCAGTTTGCTCTTAGGATACGCAGTATGATCCGCAGTTGTTTCAAAGTACACCCAGTATTCGTCCTCCCCTCTCTTCTCAGTAACGGTACCTACCCACCAACCCTTGTTGTCAAACACATCTCAGTAACGGTCCTAATCCGCTTTTTCTCGAGAAGGCTGAGGAGGAAGAGGCCGGACCTCATCCGCCATGACAACCTCTTCTAGAGGTTTGGACTTGTGGTCCTCCTACACAAGGGTCTTGCACTTCACCCTGTAACACTTGTCCCCCGAGTTTGCAACTACCGTTGCTGCGTAGTACGAGCCGATAAATCCATATTCTTTGCTGGAGACTTCCACCTTGTCACCTTTTTGAAAAACAAGTTTTCGAGGAAAGTTTGCCTTTTCTCGCTCTCATTACCTTCTTGAGAACCCATTAGAGAGAGGGAGAGAGAGTAATAACGCAAGCGATTAGCAAAGTAATATGAGAGCATAAGGCTATATATAGCGTAGGGTTAGGGTTGAGTTTTCCTCTTCTGTTCAGAATTGGATGGCTTTCCTTTTCCGTCTAGGATTTGGAGGCATTTCCTATTTATAATTGTTTAAGTAACTCAATTAAATTCCAACAGAAAAAAAAAAAAAAAATTTAGCCCCATACATTAAGCTCGATTAATTATTAATAAATAGTTAGTAACTCAAAACTCAATTGAATAATCTACCTAGTACTATACAATTAAAAATGTCAAACTCTCTTCTAAAATGCCAATGATGTTATATATGCAACCATTTAGACACACAAAAATGACACATTTGTTGATACGATTTCGAATACAGGTGGAGTACATACAATGATGGCACCCAACTCTATCGAGAGCATGTTCAAATTTATGTGTTCAAATAGTTTTATTATATGCTGAAAAACAATAACTAGGAACTAGCAGTATCACTACTCTTGCCTTGAACAAAAAGACAAATCATTTGAACAAAATTTGATTAATTCTACTGATATCTTTTAACAAGCTAATTAGCTTAATGACGTGCAAAAGTGAGGGATTGTATTGTTAGCTAAAGCTATCTTTGATCTCTAACCTTTTATCTCCATTGACAGAAACCATACTATCGACGCAAACAACAGCTTGAAAATCTCCTCGGGACACACCATGAACAGGAAGATACGTAAGATTTTCGGTGTTGAAGTTGTAGCTGGCTAAGCGTCCATCTATGTCAACCAAAAGAACCTCGTCCCTCTTCCAAAGTATTAATGGAATATCTACCTCTTGATCCAGTTTGGGCACAACGGATAAATGTTTTGTCCAACCATCATCAAATTCATCCATCACCCAAATTTCAAAGGGTTCTTCATCTTCACCATGGTAAAAGCCAAAAAGAGCAACAGATTCATTCCACACTGTAAGCGAGAACTCATGCGTCGGAAACTCGTAGAAACAATCCGGAAGTAATATATCATGAAAAACTTCATTACTCGCGTCGTAAGAAATGACCAATTGCTTCTTTTCCTCCTCAAGTCTGTCATAAAATGGCAGAAATTCCTTCTTTTCCTCATATCCCAACCCATAAAAAACTCCCTCGAAGTAGGTCGACAAATTATCGTTACCCCAAAAATAAGTATTTTCTGTTTCCAAGTAGTCTGTCCCGATCTTTTTCCAATAATTAGTACTCAATGTGTATATTTCTGCTTGGGGAGGATGAATAATGAGACGATCATCCTCTAATATTTCCTCACCATAAGATATGATGCTGATGAGCATGTAATCTTTACGATTCGGATTATAGCCAAATCCCAACGTACACGAAAACGCATCTTCGAAGCATGACTCGGGAAGAACCCTAAATTCCTTGATTGCCGGATTGTATAAAACAAGTTTTCCGGTATAAAGATATAAACAAAAAATCCCATCACAATGACCTACAATACTCACAGATTCACCAAGTTCTTGGCCAGGGAGCTCAATAAATTGTCCCCTGCTTTTTAATCCCATAGAAAGCGGAAAATGTAGGTCCTCAAGAGTACAATTAGGGTTATGATCAACATCGCTGTCTTTGTCATTGCGAAGACTAAGGAATGAAAACACGAGTTCCTCGTTGTTGAATTCGGTAGTGCTGAGGACGGAACGCTTAAAAAGGATGCAAGTGGAGGAGGTGGAGGGTTGGTCGTTGTATAAACGGAGGTGCTCGGCTACGAAATGGGGATTGTTAAAAAGAGCATACCACGACTTACGGACGCATTTGAATCGCATTAGGGATTTGGGAGGCAGCCTTGCTAGGATTTCCAACCCTATTTCGTCTGGGATGTTGCAGAAGTATGTCATTTCGGCTCCGTTCCTCACCTTTCGTGAGTAGCAATGGGCGGACAATGCCAGATGATAACAATGGTCAAGTAATAGTTTCTTTAAAAAAAATCAGATGACAAGGGATAAGGGATATTTCACAGTAGCAAAACTTTCCATCCCGAAGAACAAAAATATTCAAGCAAGTTCAAAGAACAATTTAGAAAACTCTTTTGAGCTAGGACTAAAAAGATAGCGAAAACATATCGTCGAAATCATACCAAAGAATGTTGGGGCAACATACTTAAGGTCGAGAATGCAGAGGGGAGAGACAAAAAGATGTGCAATATTGATTGATATGCGGACTGGAGGGAGATTTACAGTTTTACTTGGCATGAAGGGAAGGGAAGGGAAGGGAAGGTTTCAGTTAGACATTCTTTATATAGTATGTTGCATTAGGTTAACAAGCCTTTGCATAAACTCCGTGGCCCATATTACTACCTGTAATAACTTCTAATAACCACACCCTGATATTCATCAGTTTTTTTCCCGTGGTATACATGTAGGTGTATGCAGTGGTGGAGCCAGGAATTTAAGACAATGGGGTCAAAAAATAGCTTTCAAAAATCGATCATACTTTTATTTATAATTGTCCACGACGTGTTCTCATATTTTGGAAACGTCGTATTACAACATCATTATTAATAGAATCATATACCTCTTTCTTAATGTACACAACCAAACTATCATTCAACCATTGATCACCCATCCTATTACGATGTGGATTCTTTACAATTTTCATCATTGAAAAAGCTCTTTCAATTGAAGCAGTTGCAACAGGTAAAATCATTACTAATTTCACTAGCAAGTACACCAAAGGATATTGTCTATCCTTCTTTGTCTCCACCAACTTTTGTGCAAGGCTATTAATTCCTTTCAACGCAGAAAATTCATTATGCAAACGCATATAAAAAATATAACTCTTCAGTTCATCTTCAAGAAGTGTGAGCTCCATATCAGAAAAAAAATTTCGATAAAATTGAGCAAATCGAACTAACTTTTCAATGTCAAAAGCTGAGAATGAGTCATCTGGGCTTAAGCATGCAACACAAAGAAGCAACTATGTACTTGTCTCATTAAAACAACTGGTCAACTCTTGAAGTTGCTTATCAATAACATCAATAAAGAGATCAACACGGTAGTGATGAAGGTTTGTCAAATTTTCAGCTTTACGCCGTGACCTCCCTCGAGCTACAAAGATATCATTCATATAAGGAATATCAATATCATGCTTGCCACAAAAAGAAGAAACTTTATCAAGCCAAGCATCCCATCCATTATCCCTCATTGCTTGTAGTTGTTGTTTACATGCTTTGACTAAAGCCATAACACTCACTATATCGAGATCTTTCTTTTGCAATGCATGTGACAACACATTTGTGATTCCCAATATTTCTTTCATCAGAAAGAGACTAGAGACAAAATCAAAAGATTGCAAAAGATTCAACAAAATATCTGCTTCACCTCTTTAATCAAGACTTACACCATCATCTGCAATCATCTCAAGCACCTCAATTACAGAAGAGAACATATTAATCAAGCTTACCAAGGTACCATAGTGTGAGCCCCAATGTGTATCACTTGCATGTTTAAGACTAGTTTCTTGGTTCAAGCCTTGCCCACTTGGAAGCTCATAATTTTGAATAGCTTCCATAACTTTGGCTTGTTGTCTTTCTCTAACCATGTCTCGACGTTTACATGATGCTCCGAAAATAGTAACAACATTATTAACCAAACAGAAAAAAGAGCCACTTTGAATATGATTTTTCGCCATGGCTACAAGAGCAAGTTGAAGTTGATGTGCAAAGCAATGAATATAAAATGCACTTTCATTTTCTTTCAAAATAAGTGTCTTAAGGCCATTAAACTCACCTTGCATATTGCTAGACCCATCATAACCTTGTCCACGCAATCTAGATATGCTTAATCCATTTGTAGAGAAGAACTGATCAATTGCCTCTTTAAGTGAAAAAGTAGTGGTATTAGGAACATGCTTTCTGCCCATAAATCTTTCAACTACTTGTCCGTTGGTATTCACATAGCGAAGTACAACTGCCATTTGTTCCTTGACTAATATATCATGCAATTCTTCAACCAAAACAGAAAAGAAAGCATCATCACCAATATCAAACATGATAGCATTGGTGGTTTCACATGCTACTGCATACACAAGATCTTTTTGAATATCATGTGATGTTAACTTGAGATTTTCAGGAGCATTTCTAAACACCACATCTTTAACACCTTCATTATGATCTGCAAGAAACTTCAAAAGCTCAAGAAAATTACCCTTATTGCTTGAATCTTCATTTTCATCATGACCACGAAAAGCAAGATCTTGTCGCAATAAAAAGCGAATGCAATCAAATGATGCATTCAAACGAGTGCAATAATCAATACATGCTTGATCCGACTGCTTTGGACAATTGTTTGAATATGTTGATTTTGATTCATTAAATCTTCACAATGAAGTAAAGCTTGGTTGTGAGCACTATTGGGATCTCCAACATGAACTCGAAGTCGACATTTTTTCTTTCTATTATGAAAACCTTTGCTAGTAAAATTGTCATTACCTACTTGGTTTGGAATCTCTAGCTTGAAGAGATAACAACTTAGACAAAAAAAAAGCATTTTTGGATATGCTATACTCCAACCTAGGAAAGTCATTGAACCATTTCGGATTGAAAAGGAGTTGTACTCCTGCAAATGATGTATATGAAAATTGATGGGTTCGAGGTTGAACCAATTCCCTTTGTAAATAAGCTCTTCGGATATGATCTCTAATATTTGGATCATATTCCGATATCCGAAGTCGAAGCCCAGGATTTCCTGGAAGATTTGCCGATATACTTTCTATGTTATTTTCATTTGAACTTTCAGGAATATCCATAGAGGGTGAGAGGTTATCTTCGGTTGATTTTCTCTTAAAATACTTCTTCATAACTGTTTTAAATAATACCAAGAAAAGTCAACAACATAATATAAATTTGATCAAATTAACAACAATTGAGAATCAAGGTTCACAGAGGATGGAGGCCTAGTTGCAGTGGCAATAGAGCCAAGAAAACTCCCACCTCACCCAAGGTCAATTCCCCCCACCCCTAAATTTAACTAATGACAAAAAAAATAAAGAAGCAGAGTTCCATACCAATACAAACCCCACAGATAAACCCCCCAAATAAACTTTCACAGAGCACTACAAACCCCACAATTTTTTTTGCCAACACCCAGGGTCCCATACCTCCTTCCCTAATTCTTTTTGTCCACAAACCTTAAGATAAACCCCACAATTCAACTTTCATAGAGCAATACAAACCCCACAATTCTTTTTGTTGACACCAGGGTCCCAGACCTCCTTCGCAAATTCTTTTTGTCTACAAACCTTAAGATAAACCCCACAATTTTTTTTGCCGACACCCAGGGTCCCAGACCTCCTTCCTCTGGTAAGTTTCTCCTTTGGGTTCAGTTATAAATCCATTCAATTATGCAATTCAGATTTCATTTTACATGTGATTGAATTTGTTTTATTCCTTTATTTTCCATTTGATTGCCTTATCTTTTTCCTGCTACAACTTCATCGTATGTTAAAATCTTATATTGTTATCATTCATTTTGATTTAGAATTACAATACAGGAATTAACATGATTGAATTGATTCAATTTTTCTTATGATGGTTTCAAATTTCCCACCCCTCTTTCACTCAGATTCTCCCCTCCCCAAATTTAACAACCCAAATAAATAAATAATGAAATTTCAGACAAGAGAAACTTACCAGAGGAAGGACGCCGAGCCGGAAGAGCGCAACCTGGAGAGCAAGAGAGATCGTTGGGTTCTGGTGTGGAGTTCTAGGAAAAGTCACTTTTCTGATAGCTTGAGAAATGAGTTCTGAAAAAAGTCACTTTTCTTATAACATGAGAAAGGAAGAGGGCAGGACAAAATTGAAAAGTTCATGAAAGGGGTCAAATATTTTTTTAAAGGGATTAAATTACAAATCTATTGGGGTCAAGGGAGCCCAATGCCCCCACATTAGCTCAACTAGTGGGTGTATGCATATATGTGTTATTCATCAGTTGATTACATGAATTTTTGCTTATTTCTTTTATACAAGCAATAGCAGAAGGGGAAAGTCGAATTAAGGATCTCGGATCCATATGCTCTTAACTAATTAACTATCTTAATCTGCATGATCAAACGACTAATTTATCTCCTAAATCAACTCAGGTAGCAGATATGAGTGTAATCCAACTTCATACATGCAAGGCCGGCTATGAGGGTAGCCGAATTGATGATAGGGAATGCATGGGAACTAAAACAACAAAAAAAACTAAAACTAAAACCTAAAAAACCTATTATCTATTGTACTTCATTATTTAACCATCTTACATATAAGCATGATATGGAATAGTTCCTCGATTGATGAAGAGATTTTTCTAAAAAGCAACAATATGGTATTACGCAGTCAAGAAAGATTGGAGCCTCTGAAATCATAAAATAGGAAAATCCTAAGGAAAAAAAAAAGAGTAAAATTAATTTGCTTTTGCTTATTCATCATGACATGTTTTGACCAAAAAAAAATTCACTATGACATGTGAATTATTGCGGACCAACCACTCATCTTTTGGTATATCTTACTCATGTAGTGTTATTATTTTATTTTAATTGTAGTATGTTTGTATTATTTTTATATTCATACTAAAAGACCAGGGTGTGGTCCTGGGGCCACTGAAGATCGGGAAAAAATGACTAAAGAAAGTTCTTCGGGGACTTGGCAGATGGTAGTTTGGCACAGGACCCAAAGAGTCCCCACGAAGTGTTCGAAGAAATGTTCGCTCGGCAACATACGTCGACTACACTCGGCAATACACGTTGACAACATTCTGTAATACGTGTCGACGGAATTTGATGTGACTCATTTATCATCTATCGACTTTTGTTTATAAATACGCAATATGACTCGACAAATAACTACATGCTTACTAAGTACAACAAAATACCTTACTGTAAGAAGTGAAAATATTTCCCACCTTGTTGCACTTTTTCCGTTTAAAAAAAAAAAAAAAAAAAAACCTTCAATTTTTTTGCTGTAAAACCCTCGGAAGTTAAAATCATGAATTACTAGGTATGAAATGATATACCATGCGACACTTATTTTGCAACTGCATTTCTCCCAACAACCAATCATAAATAACCAAGCACGTACCATGATGATTGTTGTTTCTACAAGCTTTGATATTTGTGCAATGCGTGTACAAACACTCTCACGTACAACATATTCCTTCACGTCCTCTTTTCCCTCTCTCATGTTTAAAGCATTGCTTGCAATTTAAGGTTCGTTCATCAATATATATGGCAGGGCAGCACTACTGCATGTCTTTCTTTCTTGTCCCCTTTCCTCACTTCAATTCCCAACACTCCAAAGCCCCACAAAAATCAAACCGAAACTCTTCGTGAACTCTTTCACATCTCATAATTTAACGTTAACTTTTATGCTAAAATTATAAAATATTACGTTAAAAATATAAAATAGCATAGAGTACTTGAATAGTCCCACTTTTTAAGACTCTACTTAACATTTCTCAAAATCTTAAGATTACATAAAGCACATAAAAAAGAGTAGATAAAAAAAACCAGAGTCCCCCACTTTTTTAGGCAAAGTGCAAGTACTACCCTTTGCTTACGGTCCCTTCTTTTTGACTGCCAAATTTACAAAACCTTACGCCATCTTTCTGTCAAAACTGGTCAGTCTCAGACGTGTGTGTTTGCTTCAACCTGTATAGTGTTTAAGTTAGAATAGTGTGGTCAAAGGAAGAGAGGAGGACTTGGAAAGTAATTAGAATGGCGTGGTGAAGACTTACTTTAAACTGTGAGTTAGCTCTTCAACAAACGACAAAATGGGACTAATGTATTTTACTTTTCATAAACAGTTATTGTCCAAAAATCATGCATATCACACAATTTTTTGATTGGCGTTGCAAATAGCAGAAATTGGATCCTCTCCGAGGTAAATTCTCGAGATCTTCCTGATCCAATAACATAAGCAGTTGGATCAAAATCCAACGGCTACAAACAGATAGTCCTTTTAAAAATTATAATAATTATAGTCGTTGAATCAAAATCTAACGATCCGTGTTAGTGGGTAAGAAGGATTCTGAAGCTTTTCCCCAGAGAGGACCCAATTCCGCAGAAATGATCACCTCTGCAACTAGGTTGTATGAAGGGAGTTTTAACGAAAAGTCCACGGTATTGTTCACTTTAACGAAAAACCATATTTTTATACTAAAAAGTCAATCCTGGTACTATTCACTTTACCCTTTATTTTGTCTTTATCATTAAAACTCAAAGTTTTCAAGTCATTTTCATTAGCTTTTCTTTGTATAAAAGATTTGTGGGTCACGACGTGACTTCACCGTATTGACATTATAATAATGAGATACTATTTAAATATTATTAATATGGTCAAAATACATTGTCAATACTATATTTACCTGAGTCATACGCAAATCATGCGCACAAACCCACAAATTCAAGTGCGCGGATGAGCAAACCTCTTGCAAATAGTAACACTAGAGACATTAATTTATTACATTGATTTTTAATATTTTATTGATAGGACAATGTTTCATTCATTTTCTATTTAGATTGATTCACTATGGATATTATTCACGTAGAAGTTGTCACTTCAGTTAGTTTAACCAAAAATCAGTATAATAAGTTGAGTCTAGTTTAAATTGTAATTTTGATGTGCCAATAAGCTCCTACATTCTAGGAAATAAAGCTTTTAAGAACCCTTCAACAATACTAGCTAAATTTTTGATATTATATTCAGCCGAATAACTGAATAGTTATTTTGACTAGCCATTACTGCCCACATTACCGGCTATTTTAGCTTAAGCTAAAATATTTTAAAATTATTATTTTCTAAACCTAACAATCCAAGCTCTTTTTCTTCTCTTGAAGCCCATAAACAATGCAATTTTATATTTATTAATGTTTAATTAGCAAAAATTTAACTTTGTCTCCTCGTAGCTAAATTTAGCTAGTTACCGTACACAAAGTAAAATAGCTGGTCATTTAGCTAGCATGTTGGAGCTTACTTTTTCTGCATTTTTTGTTAAATTGAGTAACCAAAAAGCCTCATCATTTAGCTAGATTGTTGAAGCTGCTTACTTGACAAGCATCTTGAGCCAAGAATCTTTAGTATATATATGACGCATGGTTCACAGTTCACAAGAAAATTGTTCTCCACTTAAAAATTACATTTACCTACTAGAAATTTCTTGTTCTCAAGCTGTGGTTTCGTCATGATATCCTCTTTTTCTTTCCTTTTGGGCGCAGTCACCCGGTGATGGTATCCGTTCTTACGTGACTTGCATCTTAGAAGTAAATGTTAAAACAAGTTCTTTTTAGCTAAACAAAACAAGAAAAAGGCTAATTGTGCTGAGGTGAGGTTATTATTGAAGCAGAAATGTATACAAGCTAGCGTTATAGGGAACATAAAGAAAAAATTTAGGGCTTGAAATGGATACAACCGCCCATAAATTTGACAGCACCGCACGCCTCATCTGTGTCTTGTACATGCAGAATTCAGTGTCTTTGTGATCATGGTCACCGTCCCATATTTGACATCCTCATGCTCTGAGAGAGAGAGAGGGAGATCTACAAAACAACCAAAACATATATGAATCAGAGTCACAGCAAATATTTCAAAGAAACAAATGAAACGAAACATGTCGCGTGGCAGTGGAAATCCAAGACCAAAAAGAAGAGGGAAGATAATCGAAAGTTCTACGTTTACTTTCCTTAACTTTACCATCATACATGCGTACAGCGTTCACAAGGCTGGTCTGGTTGGTCGAGCTGAGCATGCAGAAATGAGTGAGGAAGAAAGAGAGGTGAGAAACTTGTGTTGGAGAAGGGGAGCACGTGCAAAGCCTTGTTAAAGCTTAAGCTAAGCTCCCATGGAGGAGTGCCTGAGCTAGAATTTGCACGTGCCCTGCTTCTCCAACAGGAGCTACTCACCCATGCACGATTACCCGCCGCAACTCCCAAAGACCCCCATAACCCTATCTACTCTTGACCCATTTGGTTTTGATTCAACCAAAAGAGTGAATCAAAATGCTGAGGGAGCCCATGCATTTATAAATAAATTTCTCTAGGAGAGAGAAAGACTCGAACAGAAATAGAGTAAAGACGTTGAGTCTTGGAGTGTCCATTCTTTAAATACCTCATTTGAATTCACAAGTAAAAGCAATGGATCGAAGTTTTGAATAATAAAAGGATTTCAACTGGTTTTTTTTTTATTATTCAAAACAATATTACTACCCTACGCTACATTACAATTATAAAAGAGAATTTGAAAACAGTGATTTAGAAAAGAACGCTTTATTCATCCCGAGCAATAATGCATCACTTGCAGCCACTTGAACTATTTAAAAAGAAGAAAAAGACATGGAGGTGTTTAATGTACATATTTACTCAAAAACAGTGGACTCACACGTAGACATAGCTTCCTCCCCTCCCTCACTAAAGTAACACACAATAAATGAGGATTCTATCTCCTCTCTTTTTCCCTCTTCTCCCTCCTCTCCCTCATCTCAGTTTTTTTTTTTTTTTTTTTTCTTTTTCCTCTCTCTACAAAGATAAAATTTTGAGTGTTCAGATAGAAAGAGAAGAAACAGGAGAGGGAAAAAAAAAGGATAATCCTTATCCACACACTATTTACGGAAGTAGGTTTTCTTAAAGAAATGCATTCTCTCCGGATCCTTTCCTCCTGATCTATTAAGTTTGGGAATTCGGACCATTAAAATTTGATCAAATGGCTAAAGTCATTATAATTTTTAAAATGAGCCCCTATTTGTAACCGTTAGATCAAATTTTAATGATCTGAATCCTCGGATTTGGTGGATTAAGAGGAAAGAATGATCCCTTTCCTTTTCTCACAACTTAATGAACAGAAGTTTGATGGCATGGCATTATAATAGATTTGACCCTGCGAATGATATTGTGAGTTTTAACTAAACACTTCCAATACTGTTCAATTTTAACAAAAAAAACATTTTTATACTAAAAAGTCACTCCTGGTATTATTCACTTACAACACATTTTTGTGTTTTTGATTAAAACTCAAAGTTTTCAGACTATTTTCTTTAGTTTTCCTTATGATATTGGCTCAATGGGAAAAGGATCCTTCGAAATCCTAGGGATCCCATGATCGAGACCGTTCATCGTCCATCGTGCGATCAATTTTTATTAGGTACTATTTACATTTAATTTTAAATTTTAAAATGATATTTAACCGCACGATGTACGATAGACGATTCCAATCACAGGATCTTTAGGTTTCTCAGGAGAAGGATCCGAGTTCAATGAATCTTATTCTTGCCCTTTTCATGATTACCTGTTTGATCAAGTCACCTTGAGATATTTTCAGTGAACAATAAACGTCATTTTGTGGAGGTACGTACATCCTGCCGCCAATTTGCGAAATAGAGCTCCCTCCAACTAGAAAATCTTAAGTAAAATCGTCGGAATATGGTAATTGAAAACTCTCTCTCATAATTAAGCAGGACTTCATGTATTGAAGTCCCACTCGAACTCAAAATAGTTTTGTCTGCAATGCATGCATGGGTTTCACTTGGTTACGAGATTGCCATGCGGATGATGTGAGCAAGCACCTTACTTAACACGTACACCTCCCCCAAACGCTTTGTAATTAATTTGTGTGTACTTTTTTTTATTTTCCTTCAAAACCTTTGTTTGATGATTATAAATTTGGGTGCTTTTTGTTTGTGTAAATTCATCTTCAGATTATTTTCTTGATCATTGAAATATCGTACTCAATTGACATTTTTGTATTGTTTGGAATTATGAATAAAATATCAAATATCGTTACTTGTCATAAATTTTGGATGCTTCTTAAGTGCCACGATCCAGTTCTGTGTACCAAAATGATGTAAAATTTGCCTGAATTTTCATTGGCATGTTTGCAGATAATCTTCCCGGTACCATACTTGATGACATATTTGACCAAGCAATGACCATGAATCCATGATTAGGATGAAGAGTGAAAGCTGGGTGAAAATGGTACACTGCATATCTGCATGGCAAGACAAGGAGGATAGTGAGTGAATGACAAGATGACACTGGCTGTTGAGGGTTTGCGTGTTGGAAGCAAAAGTGTTTGATTCTTGTGTTGGTTCTGGGGAGAGCAGGGTGAGTCCCTAGGTGGATATGATTACCCTGTCTCTGCTAGGAGTAGCCCTCTTCAGTTTTCGAACGGACCCAGCTTCTTTGCCTTTCCACATTTCTATTTTTTCTTATTTTATACGATCATGTTTAAGACACGTTAACATTTTATATTAATTTTTTATAAAAATAATAAGACAAAAAGCAATAATGATATACAATGTTTGACGTGATTTAACCGTAATTGTACAAATAGAAAGGGATGAGAATGTATAGGAATTAGGAGGACAGAGAAGCCAGGTCCTTTTCGGACATGGATTCTCTTCTTTCTTTTTCTTTTTTCCTTCATCTTCTCTTTTTTTAATTTCAACGATTATGATTTCATCTTTATAAAGAGAGTAAGAAAAAAAAGAAAAAAAAAACTGTAAAAGGTGGGGAGGGAGGGGAGAGAATTCACTTCAGTTTCCCCTCCTCTCAAAGACTTCGAAAAATCCTTATATAAGCTTATAATGCTATCAGCTCATTTAAAAGAACTTTGAAATGACTAAAAATATCATTTAAACTAAGGTTTTAAAATACGCTAGACGCTTGTTGGGAAGCGGACTGGGGCCTAGCTCCTAGGAGGCTAGACGAGGTCTAAACGGGCACCTAAGCGGACTAGACGGATTTAAGTAAATCTATATTATTTCATGTAAATAAATACCAGTTTATACATAATATATATATATAATTTCATCATAAACTACAAAATAGAATGACATATATATTATGAAGTATTAGAACATAATGAAAATATGGGAACAAACATATAATGTGTGTTCATTTTAGAGTTCAATAAGTTTCTTAAAATTTATTGAAAAAATTAAAATGCAAAATAAAAGTTATCTATTACCTATCTAAGTAAGTTGTAATCTAGGTGGGTGCTTAGGCGGGTTTGGGCAGGCTAAGTGGGTGCCTAGGCGGTCTAAGTATCATTTCTTAATTTTCAAACGTATAAGCATTAATCGGGACGGTTGGCCACCGCCTAGCACCTGGACAAATTTTTTTTAAAACAATGCTTAAAACTAATTATTGTAAAATTAAAAACGAATAAAAAAAAATAAAAAAAACAAAAAAAAAACTTAGGGGGCGTTTGTTGCGCCGGACTATCTCGGACTAGATTAGCTTCAAGGATTAAGCTGGACTGACTTAGACTAGACTAAACTGGACTAACTTAGTGAAGCGTTTGGTGCAATATTGGACTAAGAAGCTGGATAATAACAAATTCTAATATTATATTATTTAATATATAAATTATTAATATTTTATTATGATCTTATCTTTTTCTCCATCTTTTCCTACCATTTTCGTCCCACTCTCTTCCTCTTCTCTCAGTTCTTCGTCCCACCCTCTCCCTCTTTTTTTTCCTCTCAAACCTCTAAATTCATGTCTCTTTCTCATTCCTGGTCAAACTCCTTATCGATTCCAGTCTTTATTTCTTTGTTCTCCCTCCCTCTCTAGCTATGCGTTGTTCGAACGGAACCTCACGGCTCCAATTTTCCCAACAAGTTGCAGGTTTCCCGATGTGTTTTCCGGCCAACCCTCGTTAAATTGGATGAAGTTAGCACCGCCAAAAAATTCATCACCATCCCTGGACCGAGATCTTAGCTTTGCATGCTTGAATCTGTCATGGATTTGAAGAAGCCCAAACAGGCCGAGACTTCCAGGCCATTTTCCGGCCACATTCGACCACATTTGTTGCGCCGGACTATCTCGGACTAGATTAGCTTCAAGGATTAAGCTGGACTGACTTAGACTAGACTAAACTGGACTAACTTAGTGAAGCGTTTGGTGCAATATTGGACTAAGAAGCTGGATAATAACAAATTCTAATATTATATTATTTAATATATAAATTATTAATATTTTATTATGATCTTATCTTTTTCTCCATCTTTTCCTACCATTTTCGTCCCACTCTCTTCCTCTTCTCTCAGTTCTTCGTCCCACCCTCTCCCTCTTTTTTTTCCTCTCAAACCTCTAAATTCATGTCTCTTTCTCATTCCTGGTCAAACTCCTTATCGATTCCAGTCTTTATTTCTTTGTTCTCCCTCCCTCTCTAGCTATGCGTTGTTCGAACGGAACCTCACGGCTCCAATTTTCCCAACAAGTTGCAGGTTTCCCGATGTGTTTTCCGGCCAACCCTCGTTAAATTGGATGAAGTTAGCACCGCCAAAAAATTCATCACCATCCCTGGACCGAGATCTTAGCTTTGCATGCTTGAATCTGTCATGGATTTGAAGAAGCCCAAACAGGCCGAGACTTCCAGGCCATTTTCCGGCCACATTCGACCACATTTGTTGCGCCGGACTATCTCGGACTAGATTAGCTTCAAGGATTAAGCTGGACTGACTTAGACTAGACTAAACTGGACTAACTTAGTGAAGCGTTTGGTGCAATATTGGACTAAGAAGCTGGATAATAACAAATTCTAATATTATATTATTTAATATATAAATTATTAATATTTTATTATGATCTTATCTTTTTCTCCATCTTTTCCTACCATTTTCGTCCCACTCTCTTCCTCTTCTCTCAGTTCTTCGTCCCACCCTCTCCCTTTTTTTTTTCCTCTCAAACCTCTAAATTCATGTCTCTTTCTCATTCCTGGTCAAACTCCTTATCGATTCCAGTCTTTATTTCTTTGTTCTCCCTCCCTCTCTAGCTATGCGTTGTTCGAACGGAACCTCACGGCTCCAATTTTCCCAACAAGTTGCAGGTTTCCCGATGTGTTTTCCGGCCAACCCTCGTTAAATTGGATGAAGTTAGCACCGCCAAAAAATTCATCACCATCCCTGGACCGAGATCTTAGCTTTGCATGCTTGAATCTGTCATGGATTTGAAGAAGCCCAAACAGGCCGAGACTTCCAGGCCATTTTCCGGCCACATTCGACCACATTTTGACCTTGATTTAGGTAGAATCATAATCTTGTCACTCCCAGCTTCAATTTTGTATATTTTATATGAAAGTTGGTTGTGAAATGGATCTGAAAGATAGTCCGAAAGTTAATGATTGATCTAGGTGACCGGAGATGACGAGGAGTCTGTCGAGAGTGGTCGTTGAACATGACGAGGACGAGAAAGAGAGGATAGTCTTAGCTAGTCCCATGGTTATTGGGGGGTCTCGCTAAGACCTCTTAGTGAAGGGTTTTGTCCATGCTAGTCCCCTTTAGTCTCATTAATATTAGTCCCAGCATGGAACAAACATGGTATTGGACTAATAGCTAGTCCAGTCTAGTCCAGTTCGACTTAGTGAGGGCAAACAAACACCCCCTTAATGTACTGAGGCAAAACAACCGAAGACTTCGCAACACCCCACTCCTAAAAGAGCAACAAATACGTGCTTAGGAATTTTAACCAAAAACTTTTGGTATTGTTCAATTTAACGAAAAAAAATATTTTTACACAAAAAAATCGATCCTGATACTATTTACTTTAACGAAAAAGCATATTTTTACACTAAAAGGTCAATCCTGGTATTATTCACTTTATCCTTTATTTTGTTTTTATTGTTAAAATTCAAAGTTTTCAAATCTTTTTCATTAGTTAACCTTTTTCCTCCTACCCCCACCCACCAGCACCACAATTTTTTTTTATTTCCCTGTGATCTTCTGTCAGCCATTCGCCCTCACATTTCGAATTTTCAATGCACTCTCCATTTATAAACAGATCATTATAAATCAAGTAATTTTTTTTAAATACATTAATATTTTCACATTAGAAGGAATGGGAGTTCAGCTAAGTTAGGTAGCTGATAATGAACTCCTAATTAAGCTCTTAGCATCAACTTTCTGTTATGTTTAGGGATACAATTTGACGTGTAATCTTCATGACTTTCTTTTCATTTTTAGTTATTTCACCTCCAAGTTTACATTTCAATTTTTATTATCATACTTCTGAAAACACAAAATGTATGTGAAAGAAAGAGTATGCATGTCATGTGTTTTATACCTTGATAAAACAATGAACTGCTTGCATTGGTCAAATTGATATGTTACGGTAACTAAATTTAAACTCTCAATGATTGTTTGCAAAAAACGATCGAGTATCTTCGTTCTCGGAAAGGAGAGGTAATAAAGTCTCAGAGGCGAGTGGTATAACACCATATCTTTGTTATAAAATTATAACTAACACTTTCAAAAACATGCCCAAACTTCTTGTGAAACTATTAAAGTGACGGGCAAAAGATCCACACTTCTAATGATGTTGATATTGTCTCCATTCCTGACGTGAGATCCAATTAGTAAGTTATGTGAATGTAAATTTCTGCCTTCTTATTTTTGGACAAAATTGCACCTACAAAACAATTAACATCTTTGGTCAAGACCAAGAGCCTCACGTGCTCACGAAGAACCTCCGATGCCAAAGTTAGAATTTTGAGGGAAAAGTGTTTGGAGAATTTAGAGAATTTTGAAAAAGAGTTGGAATTGAGTTTTGAAGAAAATAAGGTGGTATTTGTAGGGGTATGACCGGCCCCTTTGGGAGGATGGGGACTTGCCACTTGGATAGTTTTTTGGGTGTGATTCATAATTTGTTAGCTAATTAATAAATTAATTGAGTAATAAATCAATTAATTAGCTAATAAATATAATTTGAAAGTAATGATTTGGGGGTTACTTTATGAAGAAGATTTGATGAGAATTAATGAAATAGGTTTTGAATGATTACCTATTTTGAGTGACCTTGATTGAGTCATAATTGTCATTACTCGTGCATAGGAGTTCCAGTATTTCTAGAGGGTAATTTTATCATTTTAACTCTAGAATCCACATGTCGCCTCCATATTAATCTTGATTATTGGCTCCACATGTTACACTTACAATCTGTCAGGTATAAAATTTTATCACAAAATATCGGTCTTAATTAAAATAAGATTAAAATATTTAAACTCTTATTTTTTTTCAGATCGTATCTTCTCACCTGAGAAAAGAAAAGCCCAAACTCAAATTTCCCGGTAAAAAATGGCCCAACAATCTTTGCCTTAATTTTCTTGGTCTGTAATTTCTCCTGCCATCAGAACACAGAAAACAAAGAAAGAAAAAGCGTACTAAACCTCAACTGCTTCGTTTTGGCCGATCAAACCGTTTTCGAAAGTGCTGAACTTTGAGCACTTCAGTGGGTTCTGAATCTATCGCTTCAAGCTTCCTTTGCGAGACATCCGATTTGGTAAGCCATTCTTAGACTTACTTCTCTCTTGATCTTATTTTCGGAACTTAAATCTCTCAAACGGGCAGTCAAGGTTCTGTTTGGTTCCCCAGAAAATCCAGGAAATATTGAAAATCGAAATCTATATATTTCTTACCTTCAGTCTATTCAACCCAACTCTCATTTTGTGCCAATTGTGATGGGAGAAATTGGTTTTTTCTTGGTTAAATTTCAATACCCATTTCATTTTGCATTTTATTTTAAATTCCTGGTTATTAAACAGAGATTAATATAATGTAAAGTGTCGTTGTTCGTTTACTAGGTGTTGCATTAGGAAGAACCCATGTCGTGAAATCGATTACTTTAAGCGCATTTGTTCTAAGTTTGGAGGTTAAGAAGTTGCACACCAATTGTTTGATAGAAGTTGCGAATGAAAAACCCAAAGAACCAAACATTGAGCAATCAATTTCAATCGCTCCCTTCGAGCTTTTATGTCTCTTCCCTTGATCTGATACATGCCACGATGTGGTTTGAATCCTATACAATCATAGGGGTTCACATACTTTGTGTAGGTGTAGGTACCATGGAGGCATAGGGATAGAGAGTATATTCAGGTTGGAAAGTTTGAACCGAAGATCTTTTGGGAATTTTGGTTTGATTTACCGAATTGTAGAGCCCGTGGAAATCGAGGAATTCCCTTCAATCGCTACCTAAATTAGTAGCTTTGGTTTGTTTTTTGATGTTTTTCTGCATTATAGGAGTTATGTATGATGGTAAGACTGCATTGTTTCTTCATTTTCCTACTTCTAGTACTAGTCTAGTTCTAAATAAATCTGGTGTTTTTCTTTGTGTTTCATTTTTCGAGTGCCTAATCGTGGTCCATAGATAGTCAAAATTTCCAGTTTAACATTTTTGATTGAAGTTCTGACTTATTTGCAAACAGAGATGGGTATTCCTCCGGTCAGGCCACCAAGTATCGCAAAGTATCTGAAGCCGTATCTTCTGAAAATGCACTTTACAAACAAATACGTAAGTGCCCAGGTGATCCACACACCTACTGCCACTGTAGCCTCTTCTGCAAGCTCCCAGGAAAAGGCCTTGAGAGAAAGCATGGAGATACAGCGGGACGTTGCTGCTGCTGCAAAGATAGGAAAGATATTGGGGGAGCGCTTGCTGCTCAAAAACATTCCCGCTGTATCTGTCCACTTGAAGAAAGAACAGAAATATCATGGTAAGGTTAAGGCTGTCATCGACAGTGTGGTCGAAGCAGGTGTCAAACTACTCTGATGAATCATTCGAGTTTGCTTACATTACGGTAGTCAGTATCATGTCTTAATCCTGGATGGATTGCGAGGGAATATAAACTGGAGGATTGTGTAGTAGGATCAGTCTTTTGATTGCTATGCTATTGTGATGATGAACACTAGTGGAACTTTTGATTCTCGATGTAATGTTCCCGTTGGATGTTGATTTTGATTTCGATAACATTATTCATCCGAATACACCTTATAAATTGTGATCACGAGAGTCATTATATCATCGGCTTGGTTTAGGGCGTATTCGGGGTTGAAAGAGTTTTCGAGAAGCAGAAAGCGATTCTGGTGTGTGACATAAATAACTAAAAGTGCTTATGTAATGGAGAAGCACTAATAGAAGATAAAGCGTTTATGAGTAGAAGTGTAACTTATAGGATGTTTCATGGTTCTGAATTCTGATTGAAGAAAACTAACATGGATGAAGAGATTGAACGGATTGAATTTGATGGAGTGCGCATATGCCCGGGCCATGTTGCGAAACCAGATCCAAATCCAAGTGGTAGGCCCAGAAGCTAGTGAGCGCAATCAGCAAACAAACCAAGTCCACTTGGATGGAGTGCGCAAACTGGCTCGGTAGCAATATTTCAAACTTATCACAAGTTAGCATATGTTTTAACTTACTTACGTGACATCTCGTGATTGGTTTATCTGATATCATCATCTTACCGTCCAAGTTGGATGTACTCTAACGAAACATGAGCAAGACTTCAAATGTTAAGGTGAATGCTCTTGTTAGATCATCTCTAATGGAGAACACAAATGAAGTCGAACTTATTTTGATGAGCCATGCACACAAAACATACTCCGATAAAATAGTTACGAGAGTTGACATTAAACTGTGAGATGATACTAAGTTCATACCGAGTCAAATTTTGAGAGACTATCCTTAATATTTCTCATTAATATATAAAAAGAAAAACGAATGAAAAGTTCTCAAAAACTTTAGTTTTAATAAAAAATGATAAATAAATATGTAAGTGAATAGTACCATGAAAGGTAAAAACGTCATTTTTCATTAAAAGTGAACAATATTATAAGTATTTTGTTAAAACTCTTTAAAAATAAATCTGGATAAAGTTGAGGGCAATCTAGTATCTTCACTCTCACTTACTCATGCGAGATAGCCGCCCTTAAAATCTCCCGTTAGCCCGGGGTCCGCGTATGTCACATCGGTCTTATCCCCAACTACACGCTTCTCAATCTACACGCCACATGAGCACTCCCTCTGGATCCGACGAACGTTCCAGATCTCTCTCGATCTGAATACTTGTTCGACCTTTAACGTCCACGCCGCCGATAAATAACTACCCGATCTCCTTATTTCACTCCCTCTCTGGTCTCCAGTCCAATCGCACTAACAAAGTCGTTAAAGTACGCCTGATCTGCTAAATTACGCCGTTCAGAAACATGGGCCTACTTGATCAGCTTTGGGACGACACCCTCGCCGGGCCTCAGCCCGACAGCGGTCTCGGGAAACTTCGCAAGCACAAAACCTTCAGTTTCCGGTCCAGCTCAGCCACTGGTGCGTCGTCGTTTTAGTATTTTTCTGGCGGCGCGTGTTAGCACACGTGATGAACGCAACTAACTGCTAAGCCTTTACCAATTTTACATTAAATTCTCCAGGAATAAAAGTTTTTAATCGAAAATCTCTGATCATTTGCAAGTAGATCAAACGGTTGAAAATGAAACTAAAACATGAAAATGTTGAGATCATGCGGCTGATATTAATTAGGGGTGGAAATCTTGTTGGAAGTTTAATTGTTTGTTTTGGTTTGGTTGAATTAGGATCGTCAGATGGCGGAAACGTAAGATCGTTCGGTGGGAATTCGCCGGAAGAGGCTAAAGTTACGCGGAGTATTATGATAGTGAAGCCCCCAGGTTATGGGAGCGGTAACGGCGGATCAGCTCCAGTTTCGCCAGCTGGGGTTACTTCTCCAATTTCGCCAGCTGGGTCTACGCCGCCGGTGTCCCCGTTTTCTGGTAAGCATTTGAAATGTCAGATATACCTCTGCCTCATTGCATGTGGGACCAGGTTTCCACAAATGGTGGAGCCTCCACTCATCACTGATGTGTTTGGGAGACAAGGGTATAGTAGTAATTTAACTCAATATCTATGTTCTAGAATTTGGTATGGATGTCTTTGTTAATTGACGTTTTTGCCCTTGTTGAAATATCATCAAATCTTACATTCTTAAACCAGATGTTTTTTTGTCATTTAGTAACAATAACGAATATGAACAATGTGCATATAGAGCTATTCTTTGTCATGAGTATTTTTTTTGCGTACGTGTTAGATTATAGTGATTCGTGTCTGATTGTTAGTGATTTATAAGTGCATTGTAAGGAGTCGAGCAGTGTCGTAAACAAATGTTGATAGTGTTGTGTTGACGGTGGTTTTAGGTGGCAGGGAGCCATTCGGGCGGTTTCGAAGGAAGTCAGGGTCGGATGCATACGAGAAGGCGAGCCAGGTCGTTGGAGGAAGGAGCGCCCGTTCTCCTTACGACGTGTGACATATGAAGGCTGCGTTCTTGTCCAATCGAAATCTTCCATGAGATGAAATGAACGTGTTTTCTGTGGACGGATCAGCCATGCATGGCCGAAAGGACGAAGAAACTGTTTAATTAGGGTTTCCACGTGCTAATAATGTATTGATATAAGTAAGCATTTTGCATGCTAGGGTTTGGGTGTTGTTTGTTCTGGGTTGCAATCTAGTGAGTGCGCGACTATATAAATATAGTAGTAGTTGTTTGTAAGATGTGAGAATGCCGATGGATTTGGAGTTGGAGTTGGTAAAATCTGATCTCTGCTGTTTTCTGTAAAGTGAGTGCTTAATTTTCCCTTGCAAGTTCCTGCTATGGTGTTTGAATAAGAAAACTATATTACATCTATAATCTGCTGCTTGTGTCAATATTACTCGTCCAGTAATGCTAGAAAGACTGAATTTATAGATTAAATTAAACTAAATAATGTAGAAGTTGATTGGATTTAGTCTTTCTAGCATTACTTTTACTCGTTTTAGATGGAACCTGTATGCTACGCGCAAAAAATAAAAATAAAAAATCAATGAGGAAATTTGTCGAGCGCTTGGTGGAATGTGCTTTCATATCGACAAACGTCAAAGCAATTTGCCGAATGATGTTAAGATTTCATGTCGAGTGTTGTGGACATGAGTGTCCTATCATTTTTTAAGAGCATTTCACCACACTTGATGAGTACAAAAAGATTTTGTACATATATCTTTATTTTATTTTATGAACAAACGATATTATCTACATTAAGGGGGTGTGGGAGTGAGTTAAACTTCACCATAGGCCACCCATAATAATGTGGTTCAAATTCGCCTTTAGCGAGAATCGAACCTAACATCTCACTTACAAGTAAAGAAGAATAACACTAGATTGTAGTACTAAATCGTGTACATACATCTTTCTTGGCATTTTCCTATGATTTGGTAATTGGACCATCGGAGTTGAAGTGGAGGAGCGAAAAATATAAGAGTTGAAGTTGACACTACACTCCACACACAATTTTTTTTTTTTTTTGTTTTGAAATTGAAGTACGATATTCATAGATAACAATTGAAAACGTATAAAGCTGAAAGAAAGGTGCATAACATGAGTCTTGATAAAAATATTGTCAGGAATTTCAACCCGCTCTAAGGGAAAAAGAACGTCCCACACCAACATAATCATAACTTAAATTTTGTCTTCTACAAGAACATATAAAATGATATCTGGTGGATCTTCGAACCAAGTCGCGTCGAGAATGGAAGTGAGGCTAAACCTTGCTAGGTGGTGAGCCACTTTATTAGCCTCACGTTTGTAGAAACTGATCTTCTCCTGAGAAACATTCAACAATAAACGCCAGGTGCCATCAATGATATGACCAAACTGACTGAAATTGGCGCTAGTGTCCTTCTGGTTACTCGCCACCACCATGAAGGCATCCCCTTCCATTTCCACCTGCAGAGCCCCTCATTTCTGCGCAAATTCAGCTGCTCCACGAACAGCCAAACTCTTAGGCAGCAGTGGTGAGGTGATACCCTCAAATTGCTGCACTTTTGCAGCCACGAACTCCCCCCCTCGACTGGGTGAACGGAGCATATCACCACCCCGCTATAAGAAGGAATTTCCATCCGTTCATATGCTCCACACCGTAAGCAGCAGCAGCTCAAAGCTATCATTTAACAGAGAAGATACCATCCTAGCTAGCCAATGATGAACCCTTCACGCAAGTCCGTGCCAGTGTGCAAACCAAGTGCACTAGATAACCAAATTGCACTCGTCCTCGACCATTGCAGCAAAGCATGCTCCACCGTTTCCCGGTCTTTATCATAGAACATACAAGTCACCTCCGACAAGACCTTACGCTTCATCAAATTCACCCGAGTTGAAATGGCATTAGAATATGGAAGTTGATGATTGGTTTATTACTTAAGCGTTGATAAACGTACTCATTTCTATTAGCGATACATCATTTAATTTGTAAATTTAGTTTTTAAATTTAGTCTCTTTAGTATTACCCTAAAGAAAAATGAATGAGATAAACAGGGACCGTCAATCATGAAGACAAACGAGGAATGCTTGTGGAGTAAGGCTAGCTTTTAACATCTGTTAGTTTCATAGTTGCTGTCAATGGAAAGGGATCCTTTCCTCCTAATCCATCAAATTAAAGGATCCGTGCCGTTGAAATTTGATTCAACGGCTACAAACAGGAGTCCACGTTAAAAATTATAATAACTTTAGCCGTTAGATCAATTTTTAACAGCAAAAATCTCCTAATTTGATTGATTAGGAGAAAGTGATCCGAAGCTGTCAATTATGTTTGTTGAAACAAATGTAGTAAAAGTTCTTTTGCTAGAAATTTGTCATCAAATTTTTGTTTTACTTGAAAACCAAAATAGAGTTGATAATTGCAAAAGACACATTAATTTTAACAATTTAAGTTGTCAAATTTGTATGTCTGACTGAAATTTGGGTGTGATTTGATAACTTTTTAGAAAGTGGAATCTACACCTACTACCTAAATAGTTAACAGAGGCTTATATGAGTCTCGAAGAGGAAATCATTTATTCTTCCAAATAAATCAAACAAATGATTCATCATAAAAGTGAAAGTGATCCCAACCTTCTTCGTGGGTGTATTTTGTAATTAGCTAAAAAAATGAGGGCACTTTAATTAAAAAGGCCTCAACAATTTTTTTCTTAATCAAAGCAATCAACAACTTTTATTTAACACATATATAAAGTCCCTTTTGGGGTCACAAATTTCATCAAAATATATAGACAGAAATGCCCCTCAAACAAAAAACTTTAAAAACAGTTCAAAATAATGCATCAAATGGGGCATGGGTATTTTTGTCATTTTAACAGTGTTTTTTTTAATAATTAATTTTTTTGTACATTTTTTTTAAAATAATTAGTACCTCACCATAGGCTTGCAATAATATGATTCAATCAGTTGTTCATTAAATATTATTTTCTCTATTTTAAAACACGTTCAAAACATAGGCGTGTAATACTGGTTATAAAAAAGGTCTTTCGTACCTGCATAATAACGTGATTAAATTAGTTGTCAAATGATTTTTTTTTTATTGAACAAACGATATTATCTACACTAAGGGAGAGGGGTGGGCTTAGCCTCACAATGGGCTAGCAATAATGTGATTCAATCAGTTGTTTATTAAATATTATTTTCTCTTTTCTTAATGTAAATTAAATAGAGACCGGTTTTATTATGTAATTCAACTGCTTTGATTGGTTTATAAGAGGTTTCTTCTAGCATGATCTAAGATTATTCATTTACTTCAAATATTTGACTTTTCTTTTGTCAATTTACGCATATATGTATTTAAAACGTTTAAATCGCGCATAACACGTTGTGATTTAAAAAATATTTTATGCTGGCGCGTGAGCGCGTGCATGAAAGCTAGTTCAATAGAAATGACACAAATTATACACACTCAACTTTTATCAACAATAAGAACAAAAAATATAAATTATTTAATAAGCCATGGCAGCTAAAGCGTGCATACCACATGTGAGGTCACAAGCTAGTCAACCTTCTCTCTTTCACCCGTCCTATCATCTCTCGATCACACATCGTCCCCATCGGAAAGGGATCCTCTTCGGATTCTTTCCTTCTAATCCACCAAATCAAGGAATTCGTGCTGTTGAAATTTGATTCAATGGCTACAAATAGAGGTCCACTTTAAAAGTTATAATAACTTCAGTCGTTGGATCAAATTTGAATGGCACGGATTCCTTGATTTGGTGGATTGGGAAGAAGGGATCCAGAGAGAATCCCATTCCGTCCCCACCCCTCTCATGTTTCATGAATTTTCTTAAGGATTAGGATTCATTCTCCTCTTTCTATCTCCTTCCTTCCTCTTCTTTCACATTATTTATTTTGTCTTTGTCTTTCTATATAAAATTAATATAATATGTTAACGTGGCTCAACCGTGACCGTTTAAATAGAAAGAAAGAAAAAAGAAGGAAAAAAAGAGGGAAGATAATCATACTCCATTTATTTGTTACCTTTGTGTAAGAAGAAGATAAAGAAGGGGGAGAGACATCGAGATTTGAGGGACAGGTAGGGACGAGTGAAAAGGAAAGATGAGAGAGGGATAGGTGGGATTGGCAAAGTGGAAAGAGGAGAGAAAGGAGGAGGGTGGGGCTCCGTGCGTGAAAATGGGCTGGGATATGAGCAAAGGGATTTTCTCTAAATCCCTTCTTTCTAATCCACTAAATCAAATGATCCGTATCGTTAAAATTTGATCCAACAGTTACAAACAGGGGTCCACTTTAAAAGTGATAATAACTTCAGCCGTTAGATCAATTTTCAATGACACGGATCCTCTAATTTGATGGATTAGGAGAAAAAGATTCATAGATGATCCCTTTCCGGCTTATGGGACCCGCCATGCATAGACGTGTTTTCTGTGGACGGATTAGCCATGCATGGCCGGAAGGAAAAAGAAATTGTTTAATTAGGGTTTCCACGTGCTAATAATGTATTGATATAAGTAAGCATTTTGTACGCTAGGGTTTGGGTGTTGTTTGTTCTTGTCACATCCCGGCCCGGGGCGGATCACTTCCCGAGCCCGCTCCACCACCGTAGCACGATATTGTCTGCTTTGGGCTTACCATTCCCTCACGGTTTTGTTTTTGGGAACTCACGAGCAACTTCCCAATGGGTCACCCATCATGGGATTGCTCTAGCCCCCTTCTCGCTTAACTTCGGAGTTCCTACGGAACCCGAAGCCAGTGAGCTCCCAAAAGGCATCGTGCTAGGTAGGGATGGGAATATACATTTAAGGATCACTTCCCTGGGCGATGTGGGATGTTACAATCCACCCCCCTTAGGGGCCCGACGTCCTCGTCGGCACATTTCCGGCCAGGGATTGGCTCTGATACCAATTTGTCACATCCCGGCCCGGGGCGGATCACTTCCCGAGCCCGCTCCACCACCGTAGCACGATATTGTCCGCTTTGGGCTTACCATTCCCTCACGGTTTTGTTTTTGGGAACTCACGAGCAACTTCCCAGTGGATCACCCATCATGGGATTGCTCTAGCCCCCTTCTCGCTTAACTTCGGAGTTCCTACGGAACCCGAAGCCAGTGAGCTCCCAAAAGGTCTCGTGCTAGGTAGGGATGAGAATATACATTTAAGGATCACTCCCCTGGGCGATGTGGGATGTTACAGTTCTAGGTTGCAATCTAGTGAGTGCGCGACTATATAAATATAGTAGTGGTTGTTTGTAAGATGTGAGAATGCCAATGGATTTGGAGTTGGAGTTGCATCTGATCTCTGCTGTTATCTGTAAAGTGAGTGCTTAATTTTCCCTTGCAAGTTCTTGCTTTGGTGTTTGAATAAGAAAATTATATTATATCTATAATTTGCTGCTTGTGTCAATATTACTCGTTTTAGACCGAAATTGTGCACGCAAAAATAAAAATAAATGAGGAAATTTGTCGAGCGTTGGGTGGTATATGCATTCATTCAACAAATGTCAAAGCAATTTGCCGAATGATGTTAAGATTTCATGTTGAGTGTTGTGGACATCAATGTCATGTCATTTTTGAAAAGCATTTCATCATACACTTGATGAGCACAAAAAGATTTTGTACTTGCATCTTTTTTTTTTTTTTATTTTGGGTAAAGTACAAAAAACTACCTTAACTATTGTGGTCACGACAGTTTCATACCTCATCTTTTAAAATTGACAATGTCATACCGCATCTTACGAATTTGTGACAATGTCATACCTCCGTCAAATTTTCTGTTAAATGCTGACGTGGCAAGAGACGGGGACCACTTTCTATTACAAAATTAATAAAATATTATTAAAAACTAAAAAAAATATTTAATATTTTTCAAATATTAAAATAATAAATAAAAGTATAATTAAAAAAAAAAAGGATAAAGTACAAAAAACTACCTCAACTATTGGGGTCACGACAGTTTCATACCTCATCTTTTAAAATTGACAATGTCATACCGCATTTTACGAATTTGTGACAATGTCATACCTCCGTCAATTTTTCTGTTAGTTTTTTCTGTTAAGTGCTGACGTGGCTTGATTCGGGACATACTTTCTATTAAAAAATTATTAAAAACTAAAAAAAAAAAAAATTAATATTTTTTAAATATTAAAATAATAATAAAAAGTAGAAAAAAAAAAAACCCTCATTTCGTCCCTCCCCTCCCCCCTCCTCCCTCCTCTCTCCTCTCCCCTCTCCCCATCTTCATCTTCTTCCCCCACTTGCAAATCCCAACAAAAAAAAAAAAAAAAAAATCCAATTTGTCTTCCCCCCACACCCACACACTCTTCTCCCTTCTGCAACCCAAAAAAAAAAAAAAAAAACCAAGATCCCGTCGGTGGAAGATGGGTGTGCAAAGAAGGTGGAGGATGGGTGCAGAAGAGGATGTGGAGAATGGATGAAAGTGGTGGATTTGGGGTTTGATGGGTTTTCAAATTTTTTTATTTTTTTTTATTTTTTTTTATTTTTTTGGGTTTGCTGGTGGGGGGAAGAAAATGAAGATGGGGAGAAGAGAGAGGAGGGGGAGGGGGGGAGGGAAAAACTGATGGTTTTTTTTTACTCTGCTTTTTATTATTATTTTAATATTTAAAAAATATTAAATAATTGTTTTTTAGTTTTTAATGATTTTTTAATAGAAAGTATGTCCCGAATCAAGCCACGTCAGCACTTAACAGAAAAACTAACAGAAAATTTGACGGAGGTATGACATTGTCACAAATTCGTAAGATACGGTATGACATTGTCAATTTTAAAAGATGAGGTATGAAACTGTCGTGACCCCAATAGTTAAGGTAGTTTTTTGTACTTTACCTTTTTTTTTTTTGTTGGGATTTGCAAGTGGGGGAAGAAGATGAAGATGGGGAGAGGGGAGAGGAGAGAGGAGGGAGGAGGGGGGAGGGGAGGGACGAAATGAGGGTTTTTTTTTTTTTTTTTCTACTTTTTATTATTATTTTAATATTTAAAAAATATTAAATATTTTTTTTTTTAGTTTTTAATAATTTTTAATAGAAAGTATGTCTCGAATCAAGCCACGTCAGCACTTAACAGAAAAAACTAACAGAAAAATTGACGGAGGTATGATATTGTCACAAATTCGTAAGATGCGGTATGACATTGTCAATTTTAAAAGATGAGGTATGAAACTGTCGTGACCCCAATAGTTGAGGTAGTTTTTTGTACTTTAAACGATATTAGTCGGCTAAATCTCACCATAAGCTAGTCATAATAATGTGGTTCAATTTTGTCTTTGGCAAGAATTAAACCTAAAACTTCTTACCTACAAGTAAAGAAGAATAACACTAGACCTTAATACTAAGTCGCGTACATATATACATCTTTCTTGGCATTCAAATGGTCATTGGACTATCGGAGTTGAACTGGAGGAGAGAAAAATATGAGAGTTGAAGTTGACGAATCCAGATCCTCGCCTGATCCTCTTTGTGAGGATCCTGGGAATCTGTGAATCATGTAAGTTGATCGTACATCGTGTGGTCATAAATCATTTTAAATATTTTTATTTAAAATTAAACACAAACAGTACCTGACAAAAACTAACCACACAATGTACGATGAACGGACACGATTCCTGGATCTCTAAGATCTTCACCAAAAGGATCCGGAGAGGATCCTATTGGGAAGTTGACACTACACTTGTGGAGTGTCAATACTAAATATTTTATTATCCAATATTAGAACAGCAAGAAAAATAAAAAAAAATTTGGTTAAATATGCTAAAAAAAACTTCGGTTAAAATGATGTGTACCATTAAAATACAAGTTTTATACAAGATATAGCCGTTAAAAGATTCATTATATGCAAGATTTAACCATATTTTTCAGAGCACTAAACGATACATAACATACGAATAAAAATTGAAAAGAAGAGAGATTAAAGAAAAATGAATGAGATAACGAGGGACAGTCAATCATGAAGACAAACGAGGAATGAGATTAAAGAAAAATGAATGAGTAAGGTTAGCTTTTAACATCTGTTAGTTTCATAGTTGCTGTCAATTATGTTGTGTTGAAACAAATGTCGTAAAAGTTCTTTTGCTAGAAAATTTGTCATCAATTTTTTGTTGAAGGTTACCTGAAAACCAAAGTATGGTTGGTAAATGCAAACGAAACATTAACTTTTAACAATTTAAGTTGCAATTTTTTTATGTCTGATTGAAATTTAGGTGTGATTTGGTTACACTTTAAAAAAGTGGAATCTACGTAAACAGTTAACAGAGACTTATATAAGTCATATATTTGTCCAAATATATCAAACAAAAGATTCAACATGAAAGTGATCGCAACCTTCTTCGTGGGTGTATTTTATAATTTGCTAAAAAAATGAGGGCACTTTAATTAAAAAGGCTTCAACAAAATTTTTTTCTTAACCAAAAGCACTCAACAACTTTTATTTAATAGAAAGAACACAAATTATACACACTCAACTTTTTAACAACAATAACAAAAGGGATTTGTTATTGGTACTTCAAAAATCTGTACTTCAAATTTTCTATAATTAGAATGAAAAATATACTTATGAAGAGTGTATAATGAGATTTTAAAAGTGCTTATAATACTTCCCTAACAAAAAAATATAAAGTATTAAATATGCCCTTGGCAACTAAAGCGTGCATATTACAAGTGAATACCATGCGCTAGTCAACTCTCTCTCTCTCTTTCACCCGTCCCATCATCTCTCGCTCACACATCGGCCCCACCCCTCTCCTCTTTCATGAATTTTCTTTGTTGCCTTTGTGTAAGAAGAAGATAAAGAAGTTGGAAAAAAGAGTACGAGGGAGAGAGAGAGAGATATGTTTTTAAGAAATTAGTTTTTTTGTTTTAACTATTAAATAAAGTTGTTTAAATGCTTTTGTTGAGATTCAAATTTAAAGATCTTCTTATTAGTTTCTCTAAAAAATTAAGAGTCTGTTTAGTACTCTAGTTGAATTCTACTTTTTTTAACTCAAAACACTTTTTAAGTTTTGGTTTTTAAAAATTTATTTGGTAGGACTATTTTTAGAAATTGGACTCACAACTAACTAAAAAAAAATAGTCCATTCTCTAAAAACATCAAAGAGATCCAAAAATAGAGTTTGGTGTTGTTTAATGGATTTCAAGTGCATATTTTCCCCATCTGAGAATCTCCATATGCTCTAAGTGGGCGAGCTAGAATCCTTATGTCATGTTGGTCGTTCAAAAGACTTTTTCTCTCTGCCCCATTTCTCATTTTGTTGATTGAAAGTAACCTATATGTTGTTTATCTCCATGAATCTAGGAACTTTTGCTTGCATTGTATCATTTGGTCTACGTATTGGAACTGATAACATTCGAAATTATGCAGGATTATACACAAAGGATCCCTTTTTGGATCTCTCCTTAGCCTTATGTCTCTTATTCTCAGAAGGTCTTCCTCCACTAGCAGTTGTTTTTAAAAAATGTTTTGAGAAATGATCAAATTTTGTTAATAGGATACCAAACAGGTCCTAAAAACTAGTATAGAGTCGAAAGGGGCACGTATATGGGCCTCGATCTTGTTCAACTTTGCCGGTACTTGCAATCTGAGCCCAAGTCTGCCCTTCAACCGAGTTAGCAAGTTGGGTCAATCAACACGGATCTTTAGTAACCGGGTCATCGGGTACCCACCGAGCCACCGTTCTCAGCGAGTCAATTTTTCTCTTGCCTCACACTTCCGTCAATGCTCTGATTCCGAGTCTTCCAGGAGCTCAATGGAAGAAACCACCGATTGACAAAAAAATGGGTTGCGCGTCTCTGATCCTGCTGCTCCTTCTCAATACACTCGTCCCCTCTTTATCTGGTAATTACATAAATATATATATATATATATATATGTGTGTGTGTGTGTGTGTATATTTCAAGCTTCTTGTTTGTTTTCAGATCCTAATTGTTTGATTTTCGGGAGCTCTGTGTTGAAATTATTCGACGAACAGTTTTGGGGTCGATTTCATATTATCCCAGCTTTTCAGCCATCGAAAATTATCATATTATCATCTTTTTATGAAAATAACGACATCATGAATTTGTATTTGTTTTTTTTTTCTTTCTGGATTATAGATATTGGGTATTGGTCAAAATCTAGTTAGGATTCAGAAAGCCTCGTTCTTTTTGCACTTAATCGGTGCAGTTTAGTTTACCATATGCAGAAACACTGGATTGCTGCTGTTACATGAATTGCAACATTGGGGTTTTCATTTTCTCACACTAGGTTAGACTCCCTGTCCCCAGAGTGTCAAAACATAGGTTTTATATGAGCAGTAGTTCCAGTGTGGCGGATGCAACAGACTCGGCTCGAGGGAAGCTGAGATGGGCTAGAATCAGTTTGGAGGTGGAGCTCTATGTTTATTATCTTTGTAGTTGACAAGCCATGGAGGGGCATGCTTTTTATTAAAGCTGGCATAAGTTGATCTTTGGTGTGCCTCGACTGCATTATCACATCTCACGAGTGTATGGTCATAGCTCGTTTTTCATATGTAATGGTGGTGTGGAAATTGGATGCAATCTGCTTGTTGTTTCCCGGTTTTATGTTCTCCTTAATCAGCAGAATGGCTCTGCTTTCTGAATTTTCTCTCTTATCAGAAGATATTTACTTCTAATACGTCACTTTATCGAGTTTTTGTTTTTCTTTAATAGTTGTGTAGAACTTATTACGAAACATTATCTGAATTCGTTTTCCTGCAGGTAAGCCTGACAGTGTATGCATTTCCCAAGGTGGTCGTTTCCCGCCATTCTCTTCTGAGGGAAAGCCTCCAAAACGTGTGACCAAGGGATCCAAAGATCTGACTCTCTGCAGGGTGTTCCGCAAAAAAACTTGCTGTGATGTAGCCCAGACACATCCTGCACTTGTATCTGTTAGGAAGTTGGCTTCATCAGGGGAAGCTGGCCCAGAGTGCTTGCATTTATGGGAATTGCTGGAATGTTCCATCTGTGATCCCCGCATTGGTGTGCAGTCAGGACCTCCGGTTATATGTGCCTCTTTCTGTGACAGGGTTTTTGAGGCTTGTGCTGAGGCTTACTACTCTACGGATGCAATAACACAGGTGTGTGGGTGGCTTTTAAGTTCCAGTCCAAGATTTTCCTTGCCAGTTATTAAAGTGAAAGGGGAATATGAAGTGTTGGGTTGGAGGGGGTGTGACATGCTGCTTGGTTTGTCCGCCTAGACGGTCTTCTTTGAAGTATCTTCATCATTGACATTATTAATGTTTCTTCCGTGTGCAATGTTTTGTTAACAATGCAAATAGTAGTTGAACTGACACTGCTTACTAAAGACATCAAACTTATCTCCTTCCAGATGTATTAGAGAACGACTTTGATGATTAAATATTTTCTGCCAGGTTCTAGCACCATGTGGAGTAAATGATTATGTTTGCGGCAGGGCCTCTGAATGGATTCGTAATGGCACAGAGTTCTGCCATGCTGCAGGATTTGACGTTAAAGATGACATATCGGCGAGCAAGGAAGAACCATTTTGCTATGGCGGGAAAGCCAGTCTTGATTTGATTGCTGATTCATGGAAGGCTTCACCATCTGAGGTGCCCCAGAAAGCCGAGAGCTTGAGAGTGCTAGAGGAATTCCAGCAGCGGTGGAGGGAAATGCCATTTAGCGAAAGAGTTTCTTGGGCCATTGGAGGATTGGTGCTTACAGCAGGCCTATTGTTTGTAAGGTATGCCCTTCTTCTGTTACCATGTCAATTTCCATAATGAAATTCTGCTAGCGTAGCTAGGGCGGATCGTTTTTGCTCCGCTGTTGATCTTTTCTTTGTTCATGTGTGTATGCAGCAAACGGAAAAGACATAACCAGCGCCACAATGTAGCCGCTCTACGAATCAGGAAATTTGAAGCCAAGAAAAGCCAGAAATCTCCTAATAGTCCAGGAAGTAGGAAAAACAAGTAAAAGATGAATTTCTCTCTTGCACGGGAAAACGTTTAGTTATGACTATTTACAGTTGATGTATCAATATATTGTTATAAAAAGTTTGTGCCTTTTGCTCTTTATTATAACTGCATACTATTGTCACCACCGCCGCCTACCATCACCACCATCGCAACCATAATCACCACCATTGTCGTTGCCACCACCATCCACTATCATCACCTCCATCACCATCACTATCACTAGTACATTCCCCAACTACAATCTCTCATTCATATATTAACTAGCCTATTGCCACACGCGTATGCATGTGGCAATTGGCCTTTTTATATTTTTTTATTTAAATAATTAATTTACATTTTTTTTTAAAAGAAATGAATTAAAGACGTGAAACCATCCCCTAATGTGGGAGGTTTTGTTTTTGTTTTTTTTTTTTTTTTTTTAATTTTATAATTTTAAATATTAAATGCATTCAAAATAAAAACATGGTTAAATACTTTAACTTTTTTTGGTTCAATTGTAATTTATGAAATTGTTCAAGGGCAATTTATGGTATTTTGAATGTTTCACTATTTTAGGGTACTCACTTTATATATAGATAACTCTATACACACATTAATCTCATATTTGAATTCCTTTGTTTTTTTAGGTTAGTCAAACAATAAAATTTACAAATTTGATCAAAATAAAATTCTGTCATTTTAAAATTTCTTAATAATATTAAATTGACTGATCCCAACGCAGAGTAAGAGGAGATCATAATTTTGTTAATTTATCTTTGCAAAAGGAGAATTTTAACGAAAAGTTCTCAGTACTATTCACTTTAACGACAAACCACATTTTCACATTAAAAAGTCAATCATGGTATTATTTACTTTACCTTTTATTTTGTCCTTATCATTAAAACTCAAAGTTTTCAAACTCTTTTCATTAGTTTTCCTTTGCAAAAGAGTATATTCCTTCACCGGAGAAATCTCTAGAACATCTGCTTGGGAGTTGAGAATTCACCACCTTCCATAAACACAAGAGAAGTACCTCTGAATGGTATGACATAATGGATATGACCATCTTACAATCAATTTGATTAAGGGGTGAAATATTCGATAAAGGTTCCACATACAAATACAAAACTAAGTAATTTCGAATAGGGTACACAAACAACTCTTTAAGCTCCGATCTAACAGCCGAACGCGACAGAAGATTCAACACCACATCGATGAAACCGTAACATAAATTTCTTCATGTCCTCTTGATGACACCACGGTTAGTCTTCAATATCCTCAATCTAGATGTTCCATCTGCAAAGCAAGGTGAAACATTTATCGAGGAAACGATAATTAAAACACCGGCAATGGCTATAGATACGAAGTAAAATTTAACAACATACCTTCCAAAGACCGTCATTAAGATAATGCATGTTGTCAACTCCAATTCCCTTGTTGATATCTCTTCTGTAAGCCATGCAGATAAGGCAATCAGCAATGGATTACTAAGCTGGATTTGATACAATTAGTAGTTCGCTGTAGAGTGAACTTGGCCCTACCGCCCAAATTTACGAACAAGGGAAGAAACTTTAAAAAGCTAACAATCAGAGGTTTATGATTTATTCTGAATTTTTAAGCTTTTATCATTTAATGTCATATTCTGAGGTCGGTGAAGACAAGTTAGGTTCTACATATACATATCTTGTTCTCGATATTCTAAGGGTTTCTCAGGCAATAGTATAGGAGAAGCAACTATAACGTCCTTCAAGTGAGATAATAACTTACATTTCTTTTGCTGACATCTTTGTGAAGCCAATAGCGAGAGCATGTTGCTTCCCTTCTGCCATTATCGCCTGGGATACATACAAACCAAACTGAACTTCAACATTTCCATCTCATTATACGGAAATTATTTAAATCGACTCAAAATCACATTTGTTCTAACGTGAGTATGACTTTTACATTAATCCAAAGAAAGAAAAAAAAAGACAAACTTGTACCACAGGAGTTTCTGCTCCCACTTCGTCGTCCAAAGCACCACCGGGAGAAGTTAGACCTGGACACATTATGTTTGCACCAGAGAGAACAAACCTTATGGCACCCCTATCTACTTGCAACTTTTTCATAACATCTGGATCTGTAAAACCCAACAAGGAAACCCTGAATTTTCTCAACTACATATTTTTGGAAGGAAAACTTTACAAATAACATAGATTTTAATTTAACAAAAAGATGAAAAAGGAAGATTGCATGATAGAAAAACATAGACCAGACTTAAAAAACAAAAGCACAAAGCCCCCTTCGCTGCCCTTCAAAAAAGAAAAATCCCAAAATTCATATGCAAAGACTTGTGGCATAGTCTGAAATATTTCTCTCCTCTTTAATAAGGTACCGGAACATTGTTGAATCGGAACTTCCGAACATGAGAATCAATTCACCTGGTAGGTCTCACCCGAAGGTAACAATTCTCACTTTCTAGAGTAGATGTATGATGGCTCCACCTGCCCGCACCCAAAATCCTTGGCTGAAAATATTGACAGAATCTTCCTAGGCTTTCCACTACAGTAGGGCTCATATCACATTTGGAACCCCATGCAGAATGCCAAGAAAAGCAAGAAACCCACAAAATAGCTGGTTTTCCACTGTGATCTCAACAAATCATTGCATTCTTATTTACTGATTGTACAGCCGGTGATTAAGAAAACTTCGAATCATTCTCATTAAATTCATTGAATCCTAAGATTTAAAAATACAAGCAATTCTTTTGGTATAAGTAACAGTTAAGTTTATCATTCTCATTATTAGAAGTTTCTTCCAAATTATTTACTTCCAAAACACCAGAATTGCATTTTCACCTTACTACAACTTATCAGCAGAGAGACATGACGATCAACAAATAAAGTAACCGGAAAATGATTCTTCAAGAAAATAGAATAATGAGAAAACAATTTTGTGGGAAAGAAATTGTTACACTGATGAAGGAGTCTTAGGGTAGGCATATATGGTCCATCACGAATGTTGAAAAATAGTGGCACGTTGTTTACCACAACCAAATTGAGATGGTTCTGACTGAAAAAAGTGGAGAAAGTGGGAAACAATGTTAGATATACGAGATAAGACAGCACCAAACGAACGGCTGAGTCAAGAGGTAAATCCAACAAAGTAACAAACCATTTAGCCACAATTAGAGGAGACTTCTTAGGAATCAAATCTTCCAACACTTGTTCGAGCCCAGGGTACTGCAGTTGAAGTTAAATTTTCGATAAAACGAATGTAAAGTATATCTTAAAGCATCAGTTAAATCCCTCTGAACATCTTACCTCATCTGCAATACTTTGCCGAATTTTGCGCTGGACGGATGCCTTAACTTGGTTTTGTGCAGACACCTCTTCGGTGGAAAACCTACAACATAACACATACATGCAATTATACAACAAAATATTCCCCTTATGTATCTCGATTGCAACAAGAAGAATTTGCTACTCCAAACCACTTCCACACGAAAAAAACTACTGGGAACCCTAACCATCCTCCCCGAACCTCCTCTTCCGAAAAAGCTAAAAGAACGATTGCTTACACACAGAGAAGCAATGGCACCATTCCAATTACACAAGCAACAATAAAATTCAAGGCATAAATCGAGGGCATTGGCGTTCTAGGATTCATAACCCATATAATCACATAATCGAAAATCCAAATTAAAACAAACTGTTGGTATTTCCATCGAATCAAAGCAAACCCAGAAATTATATGCCTCAATGATCAACAAATTAAAACACACATAGCATATATTTAGAAATACAGATCATAAAGCTTACTTCTTGAACATTCTGGAAATGGAGGATAGAGGAAATCTAAGATCTTCAGCAGCAAGCAAATAAAACCCTTCGACGATTGATTTTAAGATCGAACAATGGACCTTGAATTCTGGTTCTAAAGTTTTGTTTTGAAGCACTGACTGGTGCGGAATCAGTTAGCTCGGCTGCGCACTGTGTCCCCGCGCCGGTGTAGCTGGTAACCCATCTTTGGGCCCTTTGGCATTGGGCTCCCCTGGAGGTAGAATTTGGGTTTTGGGTAGGGCTATGTGTGATCTCCGGCAAGGTGACTTTTCTGTGAACTGAGACTGATCCATTATTAAGGCCCAACTAGGTAATTTTGAAAAACGAAGTTTTGCTTTTCACACATCGTTTTTAGCTTCTCACTAATTCTCATATTGATTTTGTTTGATTTATTCAATTTGATGACCATAAATAAGAGGGTGTGTGACTAGTTAAAAAAAAGTGCGAAAATCACTTTTTAATCTTTGGAGCACGTGATTCTTAACACCAAATTTTTCATCCACGATAAATTTTACATGCGAAGCGCAAACCTTTAAATAATATTACAAATTTCCGTGTCAGTAGTTTTGGATGCAAATTCAAATCTTATGTAAATGGCATACATAATATTAAATTCGAATCTCATGAGAAGTCACGTCATCTCATGAATAAGGACTGACTGAGGAACGAACACGATTTATTCCTCTGATGGCTCAAATATGAAAATGATATATGATAAATTCATTTTAGAATTCTTATAAAAGAAATCCGGATCATATCCGGATTCCTAACATGAACCCACGTTGTTATCCGGATTCCTAACATGAACCCACGTGTACAACGTTGCTATCATGCGCCGGTCTATCTTCCTCTCACCGCCCCCACTTATCCGTCCATATTTGAAGGTTTCAACAAAATTGAAACCTACATGGCGCTGCGAGAAAAATTTAGGAGGAAATTAATAAAAAAAAATAGAAAAAGAATTAGAGATAAGAAACATTCAAGGCAAATCCCAATTTTCTAATCCCAATCAATCATTCCCTTCCTTCTGTTGCTTCTCCTTCTAATTCCAAAACTCAAGTTGCACCATTTTTTTTTTTTGTTTTTTTTTTCAGGTTTTGATAAATTTCTCAGCTTTTCTCTGTTGACCCACTTGACCTTTCTTCTCCTTCAATCCAAAAAGTTGGGATCTTGATTCGAATCTCTGAATTTTTAAAGCAACCCATTTCTTCAATCTCTCTGGTTCTTCAGAAATTTTAGAACTTTCAATCTGGGTTCTTTCGAGCAGAGCAGATGATGATGATGACAATGGAGGGGATGATGGATAAGGGTGTGTTGGATGATATAATCAGGAGGCTTTTGGAAGGCAAAGGAGGGAAGCAAGTGCAGCTTTCGGAGGCGGAGATCCGTCAACTTTGCGTCAACGCCCGCCAAATCTTCCTCTCTCAGCCTAATCTTCTCGAGGTCCGAGCTCCGGTTCGAATTTGCGGTCAGCTCTCTCATCCTCTCTTACAGTATCTTTCATGATCATGATGGTGTTGAATTGTCTAATTTACTGTACCCCGTTTATTTTCTGGTGTTTGCTTGTGGATGATTATGTAAGAAATTTGGTACTGAATCAGAATGGTGGCAGAACTGATAATTCGATTAAATTGAGGTGCGAAATAAAGGGTGACCCCAAGCCAACAAGGCGGACCGCAAGCGGGTCGGGGGAACACTACGTTCATTTCGTTGGATGAATTTGGAATATGTTTGAGTTATCAATTTGGGACGCCATTGGTTCATTAGTCTCAATTTCTGCCCAATAATGTTCGTTTTTTGGTCAGTAATGTAAAGAAAAGACAAAGGCAAGGAAATGATTTTTGTTTTTCGTAATGACCGGTTTTTTGCCTGGTTATAAGGATATCACAATCATGTACTTTTGGATTGTGTTTTTCCTTAATCAGCCAACATACACATTCACCTTGAAAATTCACCTTAGAATTTCTTGACTTGGATGTTCCTTTGCTGCATTTTGAGTACTTGGTATCGTCGAATTTGTATTCAGAACGTTTCTTGGTCCTCTAATTGTACATCATGCTCTAGTGTTTCTTGCATGAAATAGAGGGCAGAAATGATACTTGAAGGCATACATAGTACAATTATCTCCTTATATTTCTTTATGTCCACGGTCTTCCTAATATTGCAGGCGTCTTACAGGTGATATACATGGACAATACCAAGACCTACTAAGGGTGTTCGAATATGGTGGTTATCCTCCTTCTGCAAATTACCTGTTTCTAGGAGACTATGTGGATCGAGGCAAGCAAAGTTTGGAGACAATCTGTTTGCTTCTGGCCTACAAAATAAGATACCCTGACAAAATTTTCCTTTTGAGGGGAAACCATGAAGATGCAAAGATTAATCGAATATATGGGTTCTATGACGAGTGTAAAAGGAGGTTTAATGTAAGGCTTTGGAAAATATTTACCGAGTGCTTTAATTGTTTGCCTGTGGCTGCACTTATTGATGGGAAGATACTTTGTATGCACGGGGGTCTCTCGCCAGAGTTGGAAAACTTGGACCAAATAAAAGAAATTTCACGGCCAACTGACATTCCAGATAATGGTCTGTTATGCGATCTGCTTTGGTCTGATCCTGATGCTAGGGTTGAGGGTTGGGCGGAGAGTGATCGAGGTGTTTCCTGTACTTTTGGAGCTGATAGAGTTAGTGATTTTTTAGATAAGAATGAGCTTGATCTCATTTGCCGGGGTCATCAGGTAATCCTATTCTTACTTGAACAAATTGAATCCTAATTACAAACAACCTAACCATATATGTGTTCCCCGCCTTTTCTTTTCCCATTCCCCTAGTAGTCTTATAAATTATGTCCACAATATTTTGGACTTGTAGAAATACTGTAGGCATTACAATTTACCTCGGTTTTTATGGTTGATGGTACCTCTAGGCATCCTTTGTGCAAACCATTATCACTTTTTGCTGAATTTTTTCGTGATCATTTAATCCAAGTTGTCCAGATGAATGATTATTTAAGTTACACTGTAGGTGGTGGAGGATGGCTATGAGTTTTTCGCAAAACGAAGATTAGTCACAATATTTTCAGCTCCCAACTATGGCGGGGAGTTTGATAATGCCGGTGCTCTATTGAGTGTTGATGAAGCTCTGGTGTGTTCCTTTGAGATACTGAAACCAGTTGATCATAAAGCATCCCCGAGCGGTTCAAAGTTAAATCTTAAAAAGGTATTTGTATCGCCATTTATATTTGTTTCGATAGCAATTGTGTGATGATATTATTTAATCACGATGTCCTTATGTTGTGCGTCTTTGGGCAGCCTCCTAAAAAGAACTGATTATTTGGAGATTTCTCACAGCTCAATTAGAAAATACAAGAAGCTCGACAGGTGCTAGAGTTTGGATTCTGTTTAATAGATGAGCTTGACAAGTGAGAAGCGCCATCTTAATCCGAGAGTTCCAAGCGTTGATCACATTGAAGATTTTCTTGTGTTTTTATGAAATTTGTAAATCGTAACTGCGTATGTTGTTCTTGCTTGTGCAGGGAAGAGGTTTTCGGTTTAGACTCTACTTTTTGGTCAATATCTGCTCATTCTGGTTTGTTTTTTGTTGAGCATTTGTAAATTATCGTCACAGCATTTCAGAAGTTTCGCTGGTTTCCTGATTAGTCTTCACTTCTTTAAATCAAGGATGGTGCTATCCACACGTCCTTTTTTACTTCTCACACACCCTCTTAATTTCTTGTTTTTCCATTTGTCGATCTTTCCTTTGATAAAGATTTTGATCATGATCCATCCCAAGTACTAACAAGTTAATTAATCACTCTTTAGCGACTAATTTACCATGTCATCCCATATGATCCGAGTCGATTAGTTTTTGGGTCATCAATGCCAGTATCCATCACCCACGCTTCACACGTCTTGGGATGAATAATTTCACCCCAACTTCCAAATACACAGACGCCACAAAAGAGTGATTCATTCCAAGCTAAAAGATGGATAGCTGCCGATGGGGAACTTCCGGCAAAGATTGGCTCGTTTGAAAAATGCTTTTAAAATGACTGAAAGCGTTTTTATAAAAAATATTTGTGAATTCAAATATCACTTCAATGCTTTTGGTAAGCAGTGGTTATGTGCTTGTTGTAAGAATCACTTGTTTTTCAGGATTCACTTGCATTTTAACAAGATTGGCTACAAAAACAATTTCACAAAATCGTTTTCAGCCATCTTAAAAGCAGCTCCAAACAAGTCCATCATTACTCAAGTTATACATATTTACAAATATCATTGGGCCAAGCTCGATAATGGGCTGTTCGATTGGGCCGAAAACAGAAGCATGTAAAACTGCTAGGGCTCCAATTGGACCACTCCCCAACAGACCCGCCCGACATCAGTATCAACTGTAAACTTTATAAAGCTTGTCAAAACCCTAGCTTCACTAAGCGGCGTCCCGAGCAACCGAGCTTCAACACCAGCAGCGACAATGGTATCATTCCCTCTCTCTCTCTCTCTCTCTCTCTCTCCATTTTTATTAGCATCTGTATTAATATGTAAACAACATTGGGTGTGGTGTGGTGCGAAACAGGGGATCGATCTCGTGGCAGGAGGTAAGAGCAAGAAGACGAAGCGCACAGCGCCCAAGTCCGATGATATCTATCTCAAGCTTCTCGTCAAGGTATATACACTTTTTTATATCTTTGAACACTTGTACGTATTTGAATTTATACGGATTTGGTATACGGATTATGATTTGATTGCCATTTTGTATTTTACTTGAAGAATGGTCGTAGGCTTGTAGCAAATGAAAGTTCGTATTTTGTTGATTCCAGTTTCTTTAAATCCAATTTTAATTTCTGGGTTTGATAATTTGGGGATGTTGTTGTTTGTGCAATGATGATATATGTGAATCCCAGCTCATTACGAGACCTTTTGTGGTCAGGGAATAAAACTAATTCCATATCTATCTGAGCCTTTGGTAATTTTGGTCTGTTAAATCTGGATGTATCGTATCGAAAAGTATTCTACTTTTGTTTCTGTAAAGATTTTGAATTACATTCCAATGGAATTGACCATTGTTTGGTGTAAAGATTTTGGATTTTCGGGATTAGTACTATCATGCCAATATATTTAGTATTTTTCGTCGATTGTTTTCTGGTTCGAAATATCTAGAAAGCGGTTTTGTTTTATTTTGGATCCCAAGTTTGGGTATCTTCCTATTTGACATTGCTGAACTGTGGAGGAATTGTTCCCTGTGATGTTTATGAACCATGCTAATCCTGATTTTTCATGATTATTTACTGCTAAATATTCTGAGGGAACTAGCTTCGATTTTTCAAAATTGATCATGTGAGTTAGTCAGATTTTGTATAGCGAGGCTCATGAAATCTCCCTCATTTCTCTGTAAATCTATGGTCGTTTTAGTTTCCCATATTTTATAATCGTATGAGTGTGTAGTCTGATTGGGTTCTTGGTTTTTCCCTGGTCAGCTGTACCGTTTTCTTGTCCGGAGGACTGGAAGCAAGTTCAATGCAGTCATTCTTAAACGTTTGTTCATGAGCAAAGTCAACAAGGCACCACTTTCTCTATCGAGGTTGATTAAGTATATGCAAGGAAAGGTTAGTTTTTTCTCAATCGTCATCACCTTTTCACTTCTAAGTAAATTCTATACAAACTATCGAGATATTTGTATTTATATCATTCTTTTCTGCTCTAAAAAGTCTTGGGTCTTATATATAGGACAACAAGATTGCTGTTGTTGTGGGGACCGTCACCGATGACATTAGGGTTTATGAAGTTCCACAAATGAAGGTTACAGCACTGAGGTTCACTGAGACTGCAAGGGCCAGGATTGAGAAGGCAGGAGGAGAGTGCTTGACATTTGATCAGCTTGCTTTGAGAGCACCATTGGGTCAGAACGTGGTATGAGTTCTTAGTACACCACCAAGTAGTTTTAATTTAACATCTGCTAAATTGATCCGTACCACTTAATAGTTTCACTGTTAAATTTAAAATCTTTTTCTCAAGATATTAAGTAACCTTGTTTTGGCCGCCAATGCAGGTTCTCCTCAGAGGTCCTAAGAATTCTCGTGAAGCAGTGAAGCACTTCGGTCCAGCTCCTGGTGTACCACACAGCCACACTAAACCTTACGTGCGGTCCAAGGGAAGGAAGTTTGAGAAGGCTAGAGGAAAGAGGAACAGCAAGGGCTTTAGAGTTTAAGCCGGTTAGGATTGAAAACGCTGTGTCTGGAATCCAATTTTGCTTTGGCTTTAGGTGTTTGGTATCATGTTTACTTTTATTTCACTGTTAAGCTCCAATTGTCTCTATTATTTCAACATGGTGTTCAGTTCACCAAAAGAGAACAGTGTTTAGTACATTTGAGGAATGCATTATATTTCTAATCGCGATTTGCGCCTATCATAAATTCTTCTTTCGCCATACTGGAAGATCGACGAACGAAAATGCAACTTCCTCCTTGGTAGTTTCGGTCTCCTTGGCCATGGTCCGTTTGAAAAGGATGTGTGGAGGAGGAGACATCGTTGTACGAATGGAGGTGTTTGCTCACAAACTTGGGGGTCATTGATTAATGCATACCGTGACTTTCGAACGCACTTGAATCGCATTAGAGATTTCGGATGCAGCCTTGCTAAGATTTACACCACCATCTCTTCCGGCATCATGCCTGGGGCTGCCATATTTACTGTGTTTTCGATTCGTAAATCCCATTTGGCGTTGATGGTAAGCAATTAAGGAAGCGTAAAACACTTTTTATGGCATGTGGTTTAAGATATTTGAAGAATTAATTCAATCGAGCTTTACATAATTATACATTTGTATACAAATTTCAGACCAACAAAAACAACTCAAACATTATCAAGTTATATAGATCAGACGCCTTTCAAGACAGATGGAGTACTTACAGTTGCAGTTTTCGGTTGGTTCCTAGCGGTCAGGCCGGGGATATAAGGCACACTGGAGAGTCTAATCCACTTATCACCCCTGAAGAACCTACCGGGTGTGAAATCTGCAGCATGATTTTCAGTAATCTTCTTTATCCCGCGCCATGCCACGCGCCTTGCCTTGTTAGCAGCAGGGCCTGTGTTGCCCAACTCTGCGTAGAAGCATGTCTTGAGCCCCCACTCACCCTCCCATGGCAACCAACCTTCCGGTTGAATCACGTCATCAATGTATGAGTCCATGATGATTGTCCTCGAATATTCCTTCCATGGACGGCCAAGATATGCCTTGTTCTCATCCTTGACAGGGAAGTAATCAGGATCGGCGGTGATTGTGCTGTTTTGAATGAGCGCCGTTCTTTCCTGCCTTGGGCTGTCACAATGCAAGACTGGTTTGGCAATGGCTTGCGGATCAAGAAAGTGCAGTTTTGGAAGATTGCAGTAGCATCTCCGAACACAAAATCTATGGTGCCGGAGATGGTGCAGTCGCGGTAGAATTGGCGTTGAGCATGAGTGTAGAGGGTGTCTTGGTACCCGTCCATTGAGCACCTGTAAAAGATTGCCTTGTCAGCGCTTACTCTCAATGCAACAGCCTGATGTTTCTCTGGACCAGCAGAGTTCTCAAACCCTATGTCCATTGCCATGAAATGGTCTCCCTGAATAGCTGCATGCATCCAATAACCAAATTAATCGTATGTCTTATTACGCAGATTCATAGTCTGACAACATAAACATTTATCTACAGACATAAGTGTGTTTAAGAATAAATTTAAGGCAATTTACGAGAAGCATGCTTACCAACAGTGGCAGTATGGTAGGTGGTCGTGTCATCTACAAAGTTCTTGTTTCCAGTTATTCTGGTCTTATTCGGACCATCGCCGATCATCATCACATTCGTCATGCTCCTAGTAACCAGGATATGCTCATTATATATACCTTCCTTGATGTAGATGATAAAGGTCTCATTGCCATACTTGGGGACATGTTTTAGTGCCTCAGTGATGGTCTTGTAGCTTCCACTTCCATCCTTTGCCACAATGATGTCGGGCTTATTAATTTTCGGAGCAGAAGTGGTACTGGTTGTGAGAAGTTTCCTGCCTTCACCTCCATACCATTTTGGATCTTCGAATTCCCCATGACCAATAACTGGGAAGGCATCAAATTGGAGGAGTCAGCGGAGTTTCCTGCCTTCACCTCCATACCACTTGGGATCTTCAAATTCCCCGTGACCCATAACTGTTAAGACATCAAATTGGAGGAGGCCGCGGAGTTTCCTGCCTTCACCTCCATACCACTTGGGGTCTTCGAATTCACTGTGACCAATAACAGGGAAGGCATCAAATTGGAGGAGGCGGCGGTGGCTAGGGTCAGGGTTGTTCAAGTCAGTGAAGGCTGAAAATACTTGAGAAACCATGGCAAGGGCATTGCTGCTCAAATGCATGGAGGTTTTCAACACATTCGTCATCTCCTCCGCTGCATCAGTAGAACTAGTTGTATTCTCAAAAGCATCTAAGCAGCTTTCTTGGTAAGTGATTGTAGCGCTCAACCAAACCTTCAAATCCATCAACATTTCATTAAACTTCGTATGATCATCGATGAACCCCAATCGCACAAGCGATTGCCTGAGCTCACAAAGCGCCAATTCCATGAGCTCTTCGCATGTGTCGAGGGCACTGGAGGTTCGGGGATCCTTCTCGAGCTTTCGCAGGAAGTCGGATTTTTTGGCAGCATCGGAAATGTACTTCATTGCAACCTTGAAGCCGTATCTAATGAGCTGTACTGGATCCGTGGTGGTGTTTCCGGAGGCTTAGCTGAGGCTGTCGAGACATTCTCGCTTGTAATCGGTTGGTTGGCAAATGGCTTTGATTGCTTTCATTGAAGCTGACATGTCATGGGAGCTGCCTTTGTTGCCACTATATGGACTGTTGTAGAAACTCTTTTCCACCGCGAAACCAACCGTCACCGCCACCACCATTGCCACCAATAAAAACGCCGAGACGCTGATAATGACGATTCGCTTTCTCGATCTCCGATCTGCATCGTCTCCGTGCGCCATTTTCGAACAATTTCGAAGCAAAAAATATTATTTCTCTTCTCTATTTGTTGTTTTTGGGAAATGCATTAGGGGAAATGTGAATTTGTAAGGGTGAAGAAGAAGGAAGGGAGATTTGAATGGTGGTCCTTATTAGGTTATAACAGTTTAGCAGAAGATGTGACTTGGCGGGCAAGGAAGGTTCCATGCCAAGCTAGATGTCGTTACTTTTCACAAAAACAAGAACAATTCTACCTACTGGCAAAGGCTACCTTAACTTTGACAGAATTAGGAATTACTAATTACTAATTAAATGTTTAAAACAAGTGGTTATATGGATGCTTGTAATCAAGAATAATTTAATTTATAAAATTGGAAGGAAAATAATTAACATCTTTCAAATAGTTGGGCTAAAACTTAGGCCCAAAGATATACACACAGCTGAATGCAAGTATCTTTTATATTTAGACAATGAAATAGAAAATTTATGTGATTAGCGTTTCTTCTAGTACGCATAGAATTTCTTACAAAAGTGATATGTAGCGTCAAGATTAACATGTCCTTGGTGAAGAAATAACATTTTGACAGAAAAAAGTGAAGAAATTACATTTTTATATTTTTTCAAGTAGTCGTGAATCAATGAAACATTGAAATTCTCAAAAAATAAAAGTGTTCATCTATAAAAGGAAAATACTTGACGAATTACATGTGATGAGTAATTGCAAGCAAAATCATATTTGAAATTATGAGTGTTTATTTTGATACAAGCAATAGGGAAAATCGAACTTAAAACTTTTAGTGCAGACGTAAAATACTCATAAATAGACAAGACACCTACTTTTATACAAAAATAGAAAATCACACTCCCCTTTTTCTTTTGGATAATAATTTTGTTCCCCCTTAAAGGGATGAGCTCATTCTCCCTATGCAAATATGTATACTTACCTTACAAATTTCATAACTGAAATCGTTTGATTTCTTTATCTTCTTTGGGAGAGCACCCCTACAAAAAAAATATTTGAATTGTAGATCATTAGTAATTGAAATATATAGAACAAATCAACGGTGTAGATACCAAGTAACACATTGATTATTAAATGCTCATTTATTTGATATTTTTGGATGATTCAACGATTTAATTCGAAGGGTTTTTTTTCAAGAGTGATCTACAAACGATGATTAAAAAGTTGAACAGTTTTAATCGTTAAGTTTATTTGCTTAAAATACGTTATTCTCATTCTTATGTAGTTGCGAAATAAGCAACAGCATTTTTACTTTTTTGCCCTCATTTTTAATGTTTCTGTGATCCCCTTTTTTGTCCCTCTACAGTGAAATCCCCACATTGCCTATAGGCATACGTGTTGGCTCTCTGCATTAAAAAACAAAAAACTTTAACGAAATGCTCTTGGTACTGTTCATTTTAACGAAAAACTATATTTTTAAACTAAAAAGTCTCTCCTCACTTTCACGGCAAGAATAGGGGGCTGCAGGATCTTTAAAGTAGGTTCGACCGCATGCTACAGAGGAACGACAGACAGATCAGAGCAACGGATGATCATGGTATTATTCACTTTCACGGCAAGAATAGGGGGCTGCAGGATCTTTAAAGTAGGTTCGACCGCATGCTACAGAGGAACGACAGACAGATCAGAGCAACGGATGATCATGGTATTATTCATTTTACCCTTTATTTTGTCCTTATCGTTAAAACTCAAAGTTTCCAAACATTTTTCATTAATTTTTCTAAAAAAAATTATTTTGCACGCGTGGCGTGCTAGGGAGATTTCTCTGCAGCACCAGCACCGCTTTATTCCTCTCATCTGCACCGTTTCCTTCTTGCTCGACTTCGAATCGATACCAAATACTGCTCATCCAAATTTTCTCACCATTTTTTTCACCAAATTTGCTCCTCGACGAATCGAAACAAAAATTTGCTCATCCAGATCAATTTCAATTAACCTAAATTTATCCAGATCGTTGGATTCAGTTTGCTTTTGTTGTTGCAAATCTGCAGGTAAAACTTAAATTTACATACATAAATTTTTATTTTTCTTGATTGGAATTTGGGTTTTGCTTCTTTTTTTTTTTTTTTTTTTTTTTTTTTGTGCTGTTTTATGATTATGGGGTTTTGTTTTCAGATGTAACCCAAAAAATGGCTAAGCTTTGCACTGTTCTTTTCAGCATTTTTTTTTTTTTTTGAAAAAAAAAACAGAGAGAACAGAGAAACATCGACGACCATTAAAGCTTCTTAAAAGTAAGGGAGCAGTTGAAGCAGCAATTCCTTTCAGTAGTATATCACCATTTTGATTAGTAGAGATGATATATTGGGAGAAACTCGTTGAATTGTCACGTGATGTTACACATTTACTTATACTGTAAATATGATGAGCAATTTATTAAGGTTATATATCAACCATATCTGTCATTTATATTGTATAGCAGTTAATAGCAAATCATGACACTCCTCATAACAAACTTCCCAATATTTATATGATTTCTACGCAATTAATAGCACCTCATGACACTCCTATTAACACACTTCACAATATTCCATGTTTATATGAATTTATCTACGCGTAAGACTACATTCGAAGATAGGATTGAAGAGGCGTGCCCGTTTCTTATGTTTTCTTTTTTGTTTATACACCGTGATCTGCATTTGGCAAAGAAATTATATAATCAGGATGTTCATATTGTCTTGGAGTGTACAATTGCAAAGCTCCCAATAGTTGTGTTGAAAGGAAATGAATCATTTCCGGATCCTTTCTTTCTAATCCACTAAATCAGATAATTCGTGTCATTGAAATTTGATCCAATGGCTGAAGTTATTGTAATTTTTAAAGTGGCCCCTTGTTTGTAGCCGTTTGATCAAATTTCAATAGCACGGATTCTCTGATTTGGTGGATTAGGAGGAAGAGATATGGAAATGATCCCTTTTCGTGTGGAAATTGGATTGGAATTTGAAGACAGGAGATTTAGAAATGCGCGTTTTTTTTTTTTGAGATTTTTTTTATTGTGATATGATTATTGTGTATTTATTTTATTTAATTACAATTTAAATGTAATGAAAATTTAAAAGTAACTTGAAATTTAATTTATGTGCTTGCATTTTTTTTCCACGTCTTATAATTTGGTGCTCGAAGTTTACATTTTTTTGCACATGATGCTAAAAAGAAATTGGAATTGCAAAACAAATAAGATGGTATAAGATCATACTTCTCGTACTCCTTGCAACAGAGCGCGGGCAATTTTACTAGTAAATACTAATCTTTAGGCTACATTCACTGCATTGTAATTTATAGATCACGTATACAATAAAGATGATACAAAAGAGCCAAATATTATAAGGGTCCAAATAATAATCAATACACATTCATATAACGGTATTGTATTATGTAAGTTATTTACTCCCTACCCATCTCATATTCCTCGCTTGTCTTTTCCACCTCTCCCTCTCTCTCTCTCTCTCTCTCTCTCTCTCTCTCTCTCTCTCTCCCAGTTGCCCAAGCCCATTTCCAAAATCTCTCCTCTTTAATTTATTTACTCAAACCCGCTGTAAACTTGACACCTGTCGACGGCAACCAAGCCCTCCCGTCAATAAACCTCCCAACAGTGAAGAAGCTCGCGGCGGCGGCATCCTTGAGTATCTGGTAACCAGGCCATTTGACCCGACCCGCGAGACCCGCACCCGGCCCATAATTTCTATACTCACCATACCACAAGGTGCTCAAAGCAAAATCCCCATACCACTCGAGCCACCCTCTGGGCTGGACCAGCCCGCTCATGTAAGTGTTCATGTAAACAGTCCTGGAATATTCCTTCCACGGCCTGCCCAAATAAGTTGGCTGGGTCGCCAGAACAAAACTGTCCTGGATCGTAAACCCGGTGTTCTGATGCGGGTTTTTCCTACCTTGGGCGGTGATGGTGACCTTTTGTAGCGAGAGTGGGACCCTTGTGTAGATTTTGCAGTTTTGGAGGACTGCAGCTCCGTTGCCAAATATGAAGTCTATGGTGCCGTAGATGCTGCATTCCCGGTAGAACTGCCGGAGGGAGTGAGCATAGAGGGTGTCTTGGTTACCCTCAATGCTGCACCGGAAGAAGGCCGACTGGTCGGAGTCGACTCTTAGCGCCACGCCTTGGTGGTTCTGAGGGCCGGCGGTGTTGCGAATTGTCATCTCTCTTGCTATGAATCCCTTCCCGGATACCGCTGTATCAAACATGGTATTCATGAGAAAGTGTGAATTTACGTGGACTCTTAGCAAAATGTGTGAAAAATGCATGCACTGAACGTGAAAAACCATCAACTTACCGACTGTTGCAGTTCTAAACGTCGTCCATCCTTGCATGAAATTCCGGTTACCGGTGATGATAGTTTGTCCGATCCCATCCCCAACGAACATAATGTTGGTTTTCTTCTTCTTCAGATCGATGTTTTCCTTATATATTCCCTTCTTCACATATATAACGTACCTGCTAGGGCTGTAGTTTGGAGCTTCGTTAACAGCTTCTGTGATCGTACGGTACTGTCCACTCCCATCTGCTGCTACAACAGCATGCTTCGCACCAGATTTTGGATTCGATTTAACCAGCGCTTTATCATCCTCACTCATCCACGCCGGGAAATCATCCCCTGACGAACTTTTATTCATCGGGGGACCATGATCCCCAGGAGGAGAGGGCAAGCTGTATAGTTGAGTGTACAAGGCAAGAACATTACCAATGAGCTGCGTCACTTGCTTCAAACTTCCCCTAACGAAACTTTCGAGGCGTCGGTCGGTTCCTTCAAAACCCTCAAGGCAGGTATCTTGGTTACTCAGGGCAGCACTAAGCCAAGATTTTAAGTCTCCTTCGTAGTGAACATTTGTGTCGCCACCGCGGATTTTGATCATTTCGCCCAGAGACCAAGCCAACTCGGAGACGGAGTAGTCCAGGAGCTCCTTGCAGTCCTCAATTGCTACACTCTCCCTGTAACTTATGGACAAAGAGTTGAACTTTGTTATCATTTGGATTGCATTTTTTGTTTCATTGAGCGTGTGCCTAAGAGCAGCAGTTATGATCGACACCGAATCTTGAATTTGAGGCCCCGTTTTTTGGAGCTCGGCTTGCACATTCGCAAGGCACGAATTCCGGTCGTCGATATCAGTGCAAGTTTGTGTAACCATGGATTGAATGGAATGGGAGGAAGTAACCCCATAAGAACAACATGAAAGTGAAAGTAGAAGAAGCAGAAAATTGGCCAAGGCCATGTTTGGCTATGTTGGAGGGAAGGAAGTGATTTTTTTTAGGATCATGGTAAAAGGAAGATATTTACTTATACGTGTGGGAAAGGAGACGAATGTAGGAATGCTTGTTTGTAGAGGAAAGTTTCGTCCTTGGAGTTAGGAATATTTAACCTCTTTTTTTTTCTTTTTCCTTTTTTTTTGTTTTTTTTTGGCTTTTTAGACGAAGCCTAAGGCTCTACGTCATGCTTTCTTCTGTAGGGCGTGGCCCTAATATTCCATGCTATTTTGGATTGACACGTTAGGTTGCCTTGTCATACAAGTTAACCTTTTCACACTGCTTAAAATATTAGAGAGACGTACCCTAGTCTTCCCAATCAGTCTTGCTTTGGAGAAGAAAACTTCCATGCATCTGGGATGACAGCTGACGATATTTCAACCAAATCATACACGCTATGTATTTTAACTTTACCACCAACATGGCATCTTAGGTACATTAAAGTTTTTCTCCTCACTTTTGAGTCATATGGAAGGAGCACATGTTTCCGAAAATAATATGCAACCGTGTGATGCATCATGCATGATTGTGTGTATGTACAAATCATCCCAAAGCTTGTAAATGAAAAGGGCTTCACCGTCTCTCAGCTAGTATCCCTCGTTTGTACAACTTATCGCCGCCTTCCTCCGGCGAATAACTAATAGCCGGTTGCCTAGTAAAATGATCTGCACCCTCTGATGCCATAATTACCTTTGCATTCCAGTACCAAGGTTGAAGGTAAGGTGAAGAAATGGAAGAACTTGAGGAAGGGTGAAGTACTACCGAAGCCCAATCTCGAGTCCCAAGTTTTACTTCCTTTAGTCTTCTTCTAATCAGCAAACATCCGAGATCTTCTTTTCTCATCTCTGATACACTTCTTAGTATCGAAATGCATAGAAGAAGCACCAATACTGCATCTTCTTCAGGCAGCAATTCGGCTACCAATAGCTTCCAATTTAAGAGAGCTGTTGCTCTTCCATTTGGATTATCTTCTGTGTACCGTACTAGCGTTAAAAACCCCTCTTCTTCGTCTCCACCTTCTTCGTCTTCACCTTCCTCCTCATATTGATGATCTTCATCTTCGGTCACCGGCCTTTTTTTCCATACTCGATACTGCATTTTCCGTCCTTTCAACAGCTTAACCTGCAATTTATGATTTATTTTTTAAAGCAAACTATGAGAATTTATGTACTATTGTATGTAGTTGAGAAAAGGAATTCCACCGTACCGTTGATTCTGCATCTTGATTCTGTATACCAAAACTGAGACCTGATATCGATGATGACAAGTCCCACTGTATCATCAATTCATCACCTGTTGAAAAATTCCATGCAGCTGTCCATTGTTCCAGCGGTTCTTTGGGTATTGCTGTTCCTACCAGTTTCGCTGTACTAGAACAGCGTCAAAATGTTTACAATTTGTCCCAAGAAAAGCAATGAACGCACCATTCTTAACAAAAAGTTGTCTAAGATTTCTGTGTAAACAGTCAACAAAGTGCATGTAGATTGCTATATAAAACATACCAGGGGCTCTACCAATGGAACCAGCAACATAAGACCAAGAACCTTCTCGAATCTCTATAATCCTATCCTCCCATTTCACAGCTGACGGTTTTTCTCCTCCTCTTCTCCAAAATCCTTCTCCCATCCTACAATTATTGTATTTCCAATTTCATTCGATAAGTAAGAGGTACAATGTCTCTATAAAAGTCACAACTGTCAAAAGATTAAAATTGGTCCTTCCCATCCATAAGGAAAAGGATAAGTAGTTAGAACTTAACCTTATTCGGATCACAAAACACTCTCTCCCTGCATGATCAAGAACAGTGCGAGACAACCACCGGCCTTCCTGGGGACGATACTGGTTCATTCTCAGAATCACATCTGATATCATTGCCCCCGAGTCATCTGTGACACGGTCTGGCACACATTTCAAAAGGTATGGTGCTTGAACAGGTGGAGTTATTGAAGCAACGATATCCACTTGTTGATATTCTTTATCCAAAGTTAGAGACGGTGCTCTAAGTAAGTCGTTCCAATGGAATGTAACAGTCTCTTGCACGCTAGTCCCTTTAAAACAGGAGCCACCTCGCCGGCGAAGCTCAAGTACGACTCCTTTGGTTCCAAACTCACAATAGAGGTGCCAAGCTTTTTGCCAGGTTGCATACGGAAAGTCAGAAATGGGTTTTTCAAGCTTTAACTCCCTGTGGCACCTCACCATCCGAAGACGAAGGATATTGCGCTTTGTATCCTCTTGCATTACCTTTGTTTTATCCCTAAGCCTGACAAGCACACAGACCTACATTGAGGCACCAAGGCACCATCAGTATAATACGCAATATTTAACCAGGATCAAATAGCTTGTCTTAAAAGAAGCACGCAACTTAAGCCTGGCAAAACAAGTTATCATTATCACATAATACCATTAGCAGATTAGCAGAAAAAATACAACTCTTGGTATTTTGCTGTTTCGAGTAATACTCTCTTTATTTTCATGTTAGTTGTGATAATTTCTTTCCCTAGGTTTAAGAGAGCAACGGGCGGAAGAGAGTGTTAAACTGACCTCAAGTAAGAACCTGGGATGCATGGGCTTGTATTTGGTATTGACATCTGTATCAGATGCCTCCCAGTAAACAAGCGGCTTGAATGAGACACCCCCGTCCAATTTTAAAGCTATTTCTCCACCAGCTTTCTCATAAGGTTGATCAAACGTCCTCTCCCAAAGCTTCCTGGTCTCTTCCACCTCTTTTTCCTTCACGACAGCCCACACGGTCACCACCTTCCCCAAATCACCCTCCATTCCTTTCAAATCCTCAGCATACACTGTTGGGTAACTCTGGTTCATACAAAAAAAAAAAAAAACAAAACAAGCAGCAATTCAGAAAAACATTCAACCTTTTTTTTACCACGGCCCTAATCAGAACTAGCCCAGTCCTCGGGTTTTTCAGAAACCTTTGATAACATTACACATTAGAGAAAAACACTTTCAAATCCAATACTTCAACAAAACACCGCGTTGATTTTCAATCCTAACTTTGACATAACAAACGGATTCAATTGAGCTTTCACAGTGTTATTTCAATAAAAATTATAGTTGTCAGACTGTTTTTACTACTTATAAACTTGTGTCTAACCGCACCTTTGAAAATGTCACATGTAACTCGTTTCACACACACACGAGAAGAACTTTCCAGCAACGGGATGCCGATGGAAAAAATTTACCTGACTACTTACTAGTAGGATAAAGAGAGATATTAAACAAAATTGAAAAAGATGAAGCACCTGATGGGTGAGCCACATGAGCATAATATCAGAGGCAGGGACCAAAGGAGAATCCAAATCAATGGAGGACCTCTGCACCATGAACAAAAACCTCTTGTACCTCTGCCTTGCTGCTATTAAATACACAATTTCAGACCTGTATGGCTCCAAAAACTTGGAATACAAAAACCTATTCTTTTTCACTTGCTCCAAAAGCTCTGCTTCTTCATCGGCTACCTCCAAAACCCTCAATTCTGAATTTGAATCCGAATCAGCTTCGTTCTCAAACGGCTCATTTGGGTACCTTCTAATCCATATTTCTCTGCACTTCATCAGTGCATACTCTTTGTTCTCTTCGTTGAAAATGGTTGCTTTTCCTATCAAGTTTGAGAATTTTTGTTCACAGTATTGCCTGTAAGAAACCTGCCAGGAAAACCCAACAGTATTATCAAGGGTCTGTTTCGCCTGCTTCTAGAACGGCTAAAACAGCTTTTGACTTCGATTGTAGAAAACTTGAAATTTTATCCTGCATATCTTTGCGCCTTTGAACAAAAGAAAAAAATTTCTCCTTCATATAAGCGCTTTTTGAGAAAGCTCCTGTTTTTCTGGGAAGCACTTACAATTTTCATATAATTTCGACATGTTTCTGACAAAAGCACCGAGCTTCTAACAAAAGCACTTACTAGATAAAAGCTCTTCTAACTCCGTTTGACAGAGAACTTAAAACATTCCTTGTTCGTATTAAAGCTTTCTGGGAAAATCATTTGTTTTTAAAGGAAGCACTTTGATTTCTTGATATAAATTTGGACAAGCTTCTAACAAAAGTGTTTGTGAGCAAAGTGCCTTCTACACATGCAGCCCAATAAATCCTAACTTTCCCAGCTGTCAAACAAAACTTTAAACGCAGAGCTTGCTTACCGGATTCAGAGTGTGGCAGAACCAAACCCACTCAATGTCTATAGGAGGATGAATCACAGGAATCGCCGCTGACTCCGCCGTCAGATCAGAAACCAACGGCATCCAGAGCTCATTGTACCTGCAAAACACCAACCCAACAATCTTTAACATCCACCGTCCGATCACACAACTACTTCACCGAAACCCCGGACCCAAAAGTTGACCTTCTAACGGCTTCAACAGCCGTCGCCTTTTGATGAAGCCACTGAGACTCGGCCACCGTTCTCAGGAACCCGATATTTCGCCTGGCGGCCGATACAAGATCCAATCCGAGTGTCAGCGTCTCCATATCCGATATCTCGCTGAGGCTGCTCGCCGCGGACATGGAGCCGCCAGTACTCAACGACATGTCGTAGGTGGTAGGGAGAGCAAGCTGCGAGCGAATCAGAGAGACAAGAGGTTGGAGTTTTAGTTTTTTGAATTAATTATGTCCGAGAAGGAACAGGAACAGAGAGAATATTTAAAGAAACATGACAGGAGCAAAACAGTGGATGGTTAAGTGGAACAGAGAGAGGATTCACGCTGGATCCTCTTCTTTGTAAAGATCTTGGGATCCTCTAATCATATTCGTTCATCGTATATCGTGTGATCAGTTTTTGCCAAGTACTGTTTATATTCAATTTTAAATAAATGATTTTTGACCGCACTATATATGATGAACGGATGTGATTAGAGAATACCCAAAATCCTCACAAAAAGGATCCTCGCTGGCGTGAAACCAAAAGGATCATCCCGTCTTTTGGTAAGGATCTTGGAATCTATGAATCATGTCTATTTATCGTATATCGTGCAGTTAATTTTTGTCACGTACTGTTTGTGTTTAATTTTAAATAAAAATATTCAAAATAATTTATGATCGCATGATATACGATGAACGGACACAATTTACGGATCCTCGAAATCCTCACAAAGAAGATGGATCCGAATTCTGGAACCAACAGGTTCCTCTCTGGATCCTTTTGATGAGGATTTTGGGGATCTGTGAATCGTGTTTGTTCATTGTACATTGTGGTTGTGTTTTTGTCAAATACTGTTTGTGTTTAATTTTAAATAAAAATATTTAAAATAATTCTTAACCACACAATATACGATGAAAAAACATAATTCACATATCTATGAAATCCTCGTAAAGCATCCGGCGTGGATCCGGATTCTAAGTGGAAAGGTGGTCGTTCCATCCAACAAACAAAACCAAAAACTAAAAGAAAGTGGAAGTGGGAGGGGCTGTGACAGGTGGCGCCGCTCGATAGTTGTCTTTCTGTGTCTGGATCTGGATCAAGAGGTAGAAGAAGGGTTTGGATGATTCGTTGCCTTTAATCATTATATGTGATTAAAAAACTACTCTTTTTTTAACTTTTTTTAATTCGATTAAATTTTGAGAATTTTAATGAAAAGTTTCTGATACTGTTCATTTTAACGAAAAATTATATTTTTACACTAAAAAGTCAATTTTGATACTATTCACTTTACCCTTTATTTTATCCTTATCGTTAAAATTCAAAAATTTTAAATCATTTTCTTTAGTTTCCTTTAAATTTTGTGATGAGATTGAAAGAACACTTTATGCTTTTCAAAATAATTTCACAATCGCCTACTGTGAATGTTCCTGATAGATAGAATGTTTATGAAAGTATTACTCTTGCAGTTTCTCTGTAATATTATTTGTACTATCTCTTTAATAGAGGTAGGGCTTAGCATCACATATAATTTTTATCTCTAATAGAGAGATGCTACAAATAGATAGTAAAAATAACATTTTTGTTCTTTTCAATCTATTGCGGTTTGAGTTCAAACTCTCATTTCATCGTAGTCTATTTAGAGTAGTTATGTAGATTATAATATCAGTTGATTTGTTAATCTTTTGGAAATTTAAGAGTCTGTTAGGTCTGGTATTAAAAAAAATCATAATTTCTCAAATCATTTCTTAAGAACATATTTTAAGAATAATTTTCTTCATGATCTAAAAACTGATTTGGTATGAGATTCAAAATTGTTTGTAAATTTTAATAATTAAATAAAAAAATATTCTACAACAACTAACGATTTGGAAACTACTGCACAATTTAATTGGACAGGTAGAGATATTCAAAGGAAGGGTTGGAGGAGAGGGAGATTAGAGAGCAAGGGAAGAAAGATTCAGGGAGGAGGGGAGGAAGAGAGGAGAGAAAGATCATAGAGAGGAGAGAAATAGGAGAAAGATTCGAGGGGAGGAGGGGGAGGAGAGAAAGAAGAGAAAGATTCGGGGAGAGGAGGTGAGGAGAGAGTAAGATAGGATAGAGATAGAGTAAAATTGGGAGTGAGGAGAGGAGAGAAAAAATAGTGGGATGAAAGTTCAAAAACTCGCTTTTAGTGTTTTTTAGAAGTAGACTAATTTTTAAGTTAATTTTGAATTCAGTTTTTTAAATAATCCTACCAAACAAGTCTTCAAGGTGGAAAAAAAAAGTATTTTTGAGTCTAAAAAGTTGAATTCAAGTAAAGAGTATCGAACATGCCCTTATACTTCTATAAGAAAATGTATCTTGATCAAGCCTAATATCCTTTAAACAAAGGCTAAGAACTAGCAATGAAAGTAGTATAAATATGTCATAAACAAAACCGTTTATTTTTAAATTACTATTTAAAGATTGTTAGTGTAAAATTGTCAATTCCTTACAAAATATACAAGTTTGTAATGTCTTAGACTGATATATATTCTTTGTTGTAATTATTTTAATCTAAAATTATCTCTCATGCTCTTGATAAAAAAAATTACAAACGTTTCAAAGATATCCGCTCTTGTAATTAGTTTGTCACGCATATGCATTCATTTAGTCTAAGAGGTTATTTTTTATTAGTTTGTTTTCGTTATTTGGAGTTAAACCTAAGCACACTTGTTTTGTTTGAACTAAGCCGACAAGTTGTTGATGGTCTTCTTGCTGTTTTGTGTAGTCGTAGGGTCGGAACACAAATGTACGTGTCACGTTATTTGGAGTTATTTCCTGTTTTATCTTCCTAACTATTTTCTATTTGTACGTGTCACATTATTACATGCACACATACACATCAACAAGTTTCAGTTTTTTGTCACAAAATCATACTGGAAAGAAGAACAAAGGTCAATCAGTGTGTAAAATTTATTCGATACGGACTTGGGGTCGATACTTTTACGAAAATATCTAAAAAATCAGAGCAAGACATGAAAATGGAAGGTTAAGTTTAGATTTTATCATATATATGAGAAACTCTTATATTTCATTCAAACTAATGTTTTACGATCTATAGTTTCATTTTAAATTCCCATCGAAACTCGAATTCAATAGATATCAATATTATATATATCTATTGATGTTTCAAAAATTTGCATATTAATATTTTCACCAAAACTGATATTTTAAACACTAGTTATATGTAGTACATATGAGACCTAGAGACCACGACGTAAGTGCACTGTTCTAAAAATCCCCACCTACCATCGGTTGGCCACCGTCCTGATTAATGCCTAGACGTTTGAAAATTAAGAAAAGGTGTCTAGATCGCCTAGCCCACCCAAACCCGCCTAGGTTGTAACTCACTTAGACAGAAAGTAGATAACTTTCATTTTGCATTTTATTTTTTCAATATATTGTAAGAGACTTGTTGAATACTTAAAGGAACACATATTATATACTTGTTCCCCATGTTTTCATTATGTTCTAATAGCTCATAATATATATGTCATTCATTTTGTAGTTTATGATGAAATCATATATATTTTAAGTATAAATAGATACTTATTTTCACAAAATATAATAGATTTAATTAAATATGTCTAGTCTGCCTAGGTATTAGGCCCCAGTTCGCTGTTTGACTAGCTCATAGCATTTTTTAGAACATTGTGTAAGTGTATGGTGCATGTATACGCCAGAAAGAGGGAGAGAAAATTGGGCTTCAAATTATGAGCCCAGTTGTACAAATCCAAAACAAATTTGTAATTCAAGCAATCTCCAGGGGCACAACCGGAAGTTAGAGAAAACATGATTTGCTATCTTCTATAAACCCTACTCTCTCCTCTCCAGTTCGTCTGTGGCCGTCTCATCCTCTTCCGTCAAAACCTACCAGTTTTCTTCCATCCATTTTCTTCTTCAATTTCAAAGATTTTCTGGTCCGTGGTTTTATTTCTTCATATTTATTCATCGATTTAATTATATTTGTTTTTTGCAATGATGATCCATGATAATCCCAGCTCTATGAGACCTTTTGTGGTCAGGGAGTAGAATGTTATCCATATATATCTGAGCCCAGAAAATCAATCTTTATTTTAGTTTTTATTTTTAGTTTCTTTGATTTTTTAGCTTTTTTTTGTTTAGTTTTTATTTGTGTTGATCGAGGATTCGCTTGAGAAAAAGGCTTAGAAATGACTGAAATCGATTTTAAAGAAAATATTTGAAAAGTGGAAAATATATTTTTACTCGAAGTACTTCAAGGGTTTATTTTGAATTAACTTGGTTTTTTAAATCATTAAAATTTGTGGTAATTTGGCTTTTTTATTTTCCAGTTATTTAATTATTATATTATTGCAATGACGAACAGTGTGTATCCCAGCTCATTATGAGACCTTTTGTGGTCCGGGAATAATCTAGATTCACATATTATCTGAGCCCAAAATACAACATTTCTTAATTTTTTTATTTATTTTTAGAAATCAAAATCCTTGATTTTTGTAAGTTCTTTTGTTTCAGTTTTTCATTTATTTATCATAAAATCTTTGATAAAATATCATGTATTTGGTTGTTAATTTCTTCTTATTTTTGTTGATGATTAAAATCAATCAATTGTGTATCAGACCGTATTACTGGAACATGAACACTGCAAAATATGAGATATGCTACTTTAATTCTCAAATTCAACCACTCACAAAAAGTAGAAGAATCATATTCCATTACTACAAAAATGACATATTGAAGCCAAATGTATCATTTTATAGCGGTGACAACCAAAGTCTTTCAAGTTAGGGTATACAACTTAAAACATATTACCAATTATATAGCGCAAATGTAAGTCGATGTTGTGTTTGACTTCTTTATTTTCCGTCCTTTTATGCAAGAATTCAATGTCTCTCTCGTAAATTAGAGTAAATTGAACTTAAGAACATTGCTTACAAAAAGAATAAACTCTTAAATTAAGCAATTTCTTCTCACATGATGACACGTGACATTATTGTTTAGGCCTAAGCTCAATTCCCTCAACAATAAGTCCACCTTTAAGATGCACACCCCTCACTTCTCTTAGGCTCATCCTTACATCCTTCTCATCACACTCACCATTGTAAAAGCTTCCTATTTCAACCTCCATCCATCCATCCCCGCGCTCGCCGCCGCGGCCGCCACTGCGATCTTCGTCTAGAACCCTCCACCTTGAAGCTCTTACCGCTTTCGGAAAATGTTCGTGTTCTGATGAGGCTTGCTTCCCACTATCATTGCGTTTGCTCAAGTAAATCGTACTCTGTGATTTTGAATTACCAACTTCAAGTGAAACCTCAGAAGGCAAAGTGTCTAACCCGTAAGCACGATTGGCTATCTTTATAATAAGATAGGCCCCATAGGCAGTTTTTGGTGATAGCATTTGAGTATTTGTTGTGCCACATATTTCCAGCCACCAAATTGTTCTAAGCTCAGCCACCTCTGCAAATCTGAATTTGCTCCTTTAGAATTCAGGCTCATGTAAGTGTTTATATGCACAACGATGAAAATCTCACTTTTGTACTCCGAACTTGTAACTGTATGACTTTGTCTCGTGTGCTTTTCATTATATTTTTAAAAGTTATCTCATTCTATTAAGGTGGTCAAGAAAATCGTTAACCTGACTATTGTAGAACGGAAGCTAAAACAAAGAAAATGCCAAGTTTTTTACTCTGGTTCCGCAACAGCCAAGTTAATTAACAATTTTCCTGATCAACTTGACGGAACGGGATGACTTAAGACACAAACTGAAAGCAAAAAGGTAAAGTTAAACAATTACAATTTCACGGAGTGAAATGAGATTTTCGTCAAAGCATAGAGGTATATAAACGAAAGGGCCCATAACTTATTTTAATTTAAGTTAATCATATAAGACAGTGCAATTTAGACCAAGGGTATCAAAGTTGTACTTTCTTGAAAGTAGATTAGGGTTAATTAAAGAGTGCAAACCTTGATTCAAGACAAGGTCTCCAGGTCCAGTACAGTGGATGACTGCCCCATGTAATTGAAAGGTCCCTTGCACTTAACATGTAGCACTTTTTACCTGTGGATTTCTCTATGAAGAACATCTGTGTTGTTCACCAATCAGAAAGTAATTACGTGACTTCAATCAAAATCAAATCATTAGTACATAAATAAGTTATAGAACAGCTCTTAAGCCTAGAGCGACGTATACTGTAGATAAGAAATTGTCACAGCGACATTCTCAATCTAGATAAGTTTTGTTTTTAAAGCCGCTAGTGCATCCACCGGCGGTAGAACAAATATGAATTTTGACGACTCAACAAAATTCATATTTGTTTCCCCGCCTGTCAATGCAAAAGCAACATTTTGGCACAAGGTCGAGCATAACTTGCTCAAGCTTTTGAGCATGCTTCGCATGGCCCATCACTTGCCCTCTTCAATTTGGCCCGCTAAAGGTTTTTAATTTTTTTGGATTGAAGGGCATCTTTCAAGCCCTTGCCTTTGCCGTTTGACCACGGGTGGACTTGCTCTTAGGTTAATTTTTCTTTGAGAATGTGTTACATTGCCACATAACAGTTTAAGCATCTAATATTGCTGGTCTGTATGACAAAAGAACATTACGTTTATATTTAACAATTTTTAACAATGATGCTTACGTTTTAAGACAAGTAAAATTCCAAAAGACAGATCGATAAATTTACCTTATCACCACCGTCGATTAGGTTTGGACTGCATAACTTCATAAACAAATCTTTGCTAGATGAATAAGCTATGGGACTCACAAATCTGGATAGAATCTGTTTGTGGTCTGATGGCAAGAATTTCCGCCACACACTATCGGCATCCACCGTGGCCCGAAAAGACGATGAAACTAACGAGGAACGACATGCATCGCCCGGAGACGTGAACGATAAAATGTGCGCGCAGCAGTCTTCAGGCAAGTGATCGAAGTTCATCTCTGAAATTGGTGTGACATTGCCTGGAGGGAGGCACGTAATTTATACTCCTAATCGCCGGTGATATCGTTAATGTGACAACACTTTCTTTCGAATGTCCGGTCAACATTATGACAACATGCAGGCAACATCTATTTGGTTCTAGTCAACATCATGACAACATTATGAAACTGAAAATTAGGAGAATAATAAAAGGTAATGTTCAAGTTGCGGGGATGTATTTGCTTCACATAACGTTTTGATTCAATAATATAATATTATGTGATGAGAAATCTGTGCATGACACTGTAATAAGGTATCACAGTAGCAGTTAATACATCTCGTATAAGTCATTCTCCAATTGATTTCAAATAACATGTTTCTACTAAATTTCTGCTGTGCTCCTTTGTCTTATTGAGCTTTTCTTTATAAAAGGCAATAGAAATGTAAAACGTTTCATGTAGGTTTTTTTTTTTCTTGAGATGATACATTTTTCTTCATACAAGCAATATAATAGAAGGATAAAATTAAACCTAAATTTTTGTGTGCAGTTGTAAATACTATTAATTGTTTAAATTACAAGCATCTCATAATAAGACGATATTCTAATTTTAGTCTTTAAGATGACCGTTTTAGCTCTTTATTTTCTCTTGACAATCTGACATATTTTTCTACATACAATCGATGTAATAGAAGGACTAAATCGAACTTACATTCTTGTGTGCAATGATAAACACCATTAATTACTTGAATTACAAACCTCTCACAATAAGACGGTATTTTAATTTTAATTTACAAATATGAAGATTCAAACAAAAAGTTGCCTCAATACAAATTTTTTTGTTATTATACAAAACAATAAGTTACCACTCGGTTAAAGTAAAAAGTAAAATTTTTACCGTTGACAGTCCTCTAGCAATCACACTCGGTTGGCTTTTGGCGCCTTATCTCTCCCTTCCAACCGCAAGTCCAGAACAACCGCAAGAACCACCAGATTTTCCACTTCCACCTTCAAATTCCTCACGAGAACACATCAAAGGTCGCATCTTTCTTCTTCCATGGCGATTACCCACAACCTCAAACCCTCTATTTCCATGGCTTCCCCTTCCGTTTCATCCAAAACCCACAATTCCTCACTCTTCTTTGGCACTGTTACTTCAACAGTTCACAGCCACGGAGTCCAGCCGCCGCCATTGACATTCAGAAGTCGCACTGCTACTAACTCGCAAATCTTCAGCACCAGAAGACTCTTCCTTCCTAAGGTTTCCGGCATCTGGGATGCCTTGACTAGTGGGGGCAACAATCCCCGTGAAGCCGTTGCGGCGATTCGACGCGGGATGGTGCTTTTTAGGCAGGTAATTTCTACTCCTTGTTACATTTTGGCAAGTGATTTCCACACCTGTAAGTAGCACTTTTGCTCAAAAGAATTTATGTTTCAAGTGCTTTATTATAATTATGTTTTTGAAAATTCAAGTGATTTGTTGATCAGCACTTGGAAGTGTCCCAAGTGCTTTATGGAAAAATGAGTAAAGGGTTCGTTTGAGAAGTGTTTTTAAATGACTGAAAACTCTTTTAGAGAAGTGCTTTATAAACTCAAGTGTTTTTTGCACTAAAAATTTTTTTCTCTGAAAGTTCTTTCAGTCATTTAAAAGCACTTCCCGAACAAGCTATAAAATATCAAATAGAAGTGATTCATGGATAGAACTTGGAATAGCTTCATGGAAAGCACTTGGAATTGCATTGTAGAAAATCACTTGGAAGTGTTTACTAGACAATCACCCCGGAAGAGGTTTGAAGTTTTTCTTTCAAACGTGTAGTCAGAAAGGCTTTCTGATTGTCAGAAAACACTTTACCCTTCCAAAAGCATTCCGAATTGACCCTAACTTTCTTTTGAAACCTGTTCTCATAGTTTGGTAATTAAAGTTTTCAACTTTGTTATTTGTTAAGGGTGATGTTTCAGGTTCACTAGCAGAATTTGACAAGGCAATTGAGTTGGATCCTCGCCAAAAGGCATGTAAGTCTATTGATTATAGTTACTAATCACGGTTTTGGGGATATTTAATTGTTTCAGTAAATGTTTCCTGTTGTTCTGATCAGATCTTTGGCAAAGGGGGCTTTCACTTTACTATCTTGATAGGTACTACTTCTTGCTTCCATATGCTTTTGTTTTGTTACCAACTGATTGGTTGAGATTCATGTCGAGGATTAAACCGGGTATATATTCCACACAGGTTTGAAGATGGGGCAGAGCAGTTTCGGTTAGATGTTGCGCAGAATTCAAATGATACAGAGGAGTCCATTTGGTGCTTTCTCTGTGAAGCTCAGTTGTATGGAGTTAACGAAGCAAGGGAACGATTTCTTGAGGCAAGTCAATGCTACAAAGTTAAATTAGGCTTTAAGCTTGACACTATAGACTGGCAGACGTTATTTGAAGTGCTATTTACTCCATTGTACTGAGCGGAAAGTTGAATAAATTCTTCTAACTATATATTAGATCGAATGCAGGTTGGCCGAGATCCAAGACCTGTCATGCGAGAATCCTATAACATGTTTAAAGATGGTGGTGATCCGGAAAAGGTGTTGAGTGAAACCTTTCTTGTTTGATCAAACCATTTCTTATCTGAGCTTGTTGTGTGGTTCATGACTTTCCTCTAAATTAACTGATTGATGTTGATGCCTAGCTTGCTGCTGCGTTTTTGAATGGCCGTGAGAGTGATTTTTTCTACGCTTCTTTATACGCCGGACTTTATTACGAATCTGAGGTTTGCTTCAAACTATGATAATTTTCTTTTGATATCCTTTTGGTGTCACATGTTGTATGTCAACCGAATATGAGTGTTCCTGCAATAACTAGAGACGGCAGGAAACGGTTCTCCATTGATCCTATAGTCAGAAATCATGTGTTTTTAACTTTACATCCCTTTTAAATTCTTGAGCCATAGAAACAAAACACTTGCAGAAAATACTAACCGTCCAAGTTATCTTCGTTTTCGTTACCTAGACATTGATTAATTGTTTTTAGCTATACTATCTCTTATGTTACGCTACAATGGTGCTGAGAAATTATCAGTGATTGCTAACTAGCTATCTTAACCCGTGCAGAAGAAAGCCGACGGGGCCAAACTCCATATTGTTGCTGCATGCCAGTCTCCTTATGGACAAAGGTTAGATTTAGTTCTTCAATCAAAACTCATTTCTTAATAAAAACAGTTAAAGTATCCGTTAAAAAACATAAATTTGATTTCATATTAGGTCCGACGATTACATGGCTTCTCTTGCCAAAGTTCACTGTCTTTGTCGAAATTGGACGACCAGTTGAAGCATTTGGCTGAAGCTCTGTCAATCTTCCACGCAAGTTGGTTTATCGTGTGCAGCGACAATCTTAATATGGATGTGTGCTTTTCCTAGAAGAAATTACTTGTTCTTTGTGTAATTGTTTCGATGATTTTACTTCAAAAAGGGATGATTTTCAGCATAAGAACAGACAAGTCTAAGGAACCTATAAGTAAAGTAACGATTCAATCGGATATTACATACTACTTAGAGCGACGAACTTGAAAGAGTTTTACATGAACAAAAAGGAAACACATTTTACATGGTTCATGACAGCTGATCAATCTAAACATTTTCCCTGAGTTTGCGACGCTTCCTTGTAGTAGTATCTGAGCTTCATAACCATCGCCAGATTCACAGCGCAATCGGGACTTTGCAGGTTAGTTTCCTCAGATACAAATTTTTCCCCATATTTCTTCTCGAAAATCTTCCAGAGTGTCATCAGTTCCGGAATATCTTTAGAGCACGTTGGAGCTGCAAATATCAAGCTAGTGATGGCTTCTTTCACTTCAGCCGGACACTTCTTTTGTTCTTCCATGATCGACAGGTTGTCCAGAACCGATTTGCAGAAGCTCCCGAACAAAACATACAAATCTAAAAGCTGTTCTGTAGTTTTGAGCCTTATCAAACGTTCATCCCAGTCACGAGCAATGTCAGTACTAGTTTCCGCCTCCAACGCTTTCTCTTGCTTCAGCATTCGTATTCTAGCAGTAGCAGTAGCAAGGGCATTCTCCGCTGTTTTTCTGCTTTCAGAAGAGTTGAAGCCGTGTCTGAAAACCGAGAGCCGGAGGTTCTTCATCGTGGTGTCGACGGAGGAGATGGATCCTCACACAAGGAAAGAAAACTGATCAACTGAGTTAGTGTGTCTGTGCTGTTTCTCGTACAAGCTTTGCTCGTGAGAAGCGTAAAACTGATGAGATATGTTGGTGGGATGCTGCCGGTTTGGTATTTAAAGACGTCGGATTTTTTCCAACTGGTCTTTGGAATTCTTATTTCCTACTGGGCTTGGGAATTCTTACTTTTTAATGGGCTTAGGAAATCCTTCCTGCTTCCTAATGGGCTTAGGAATTCTTACTTCCTAATGGACTTAGGATATATGGATTTAAATATATCATTTGATATTTCAACTGTTTTTTTTTTTTTTTTTTTTTGTGAGCCTCTACACAAAGAGAATTTAAATTTTGATAGCTTATGTGGCACTTTGAAATCTTTTAAAGTTTTGTTATCCAATTGATATGTTAAATTAAATTCTTATTTTATAAAATAAATTATTCAACTAATTAAAATTTAATAAAGGACGTTTAAAGTTTAATCAGTAATCTATTCACCTTCCTTGATCGAAAAGAAGAAAAAAATATGATAATTGCATCGGTCAACTCAACATTAATTATAACAACTAATTAAACTAATTAATAAAATACATTTAATAATTAATAAAAAAAACATTTGAAGTTGTTGTCAAATTTGACATCAACCTCTTTTGCTGTCAATCCATGTTATCGCCACATAGGATTTGGCACTTTGGTTGGAGAATATTAGTGTGGTCTTTTTTTATTGTAATAGCTAATGTGTACATTTTGGCATCTCCAAAGGAGATGCTCTAAGGAGTTTTCACAAATGTCGACTATAATTTTTCTCCTTTTTCAAATATTATCTCTTGATTTTTTTAGTGTGGCGGTAACACAGCTCAATACATTAAGTGTTATAATACAAGTGATTGAATGCTTGAAAAAAATATTTCAACCATTTATTAATAGCATTTAGTATACCGAACTGTGTTATTGACCATTAAAATATTTCTCAATAAAATCAGACTTGCTACCTCTAACAAAACACAAGAGTCTTCATTATCACGTTTATGACTGTTTTCGTCTTGCTTGTTGAGTTTGGTTATTGTTCGGTGTGCGTCATCGGCCAAAAATAAATAAAATTTAAACAGGTGTCAAATTATGCAAACATCAGTGCCACGCAATTATTGAACCAAAAATTGCAATTTTATTTTCGTTACTTGTCACATAAACTGCACAATCTAGCCGTGCACGACAAGTTGTGGTCGGAAACATTAATAAACATTAAGGGGTTTTTTTTTTTTTGTTAAAATAGTCTCAGCAAAATCACAGCAAGTGATCTAATGGTAAAGGAGCAATCTACTCTCAAATAAACAAAAAAAATGTGGAAAGTTCTGGGTTCAATACTTAGAGTTGATGAGTCTGCTTAATTGTGAATATAGGCAGAGTGAAATTCCCCATAAACTCTCCAGGTTCGGAACAAGTAGATAATTGTGGCTTGCCAATAGCTGTCCCTCTTTTGAAATAAAAATTGTTCAAACAAAAAAAATTCTCTGCAATTGTCATAACCTCACTTTAGTTTCTAAGATTTAAAATTGATTGAGGTGGTAGAGAATGCCTACCGTTAATAATTTTGGTCATTATGTAAAAATTCTCAATTAAATTAAAAAAACCACTAGGTCAAGTGAAGAGGTTAATTTGATAAAAATACCCTTATTTAAACGGAGATTTTTCATGAAATGACCAAAATGATTAATGATGGACAATCTCAGAGACCGCTTCTATCAATTTTAAATCTCAGGAACCAAAATAAGGAATTTTGTCAATCTCATGAATTATTTTAGCTAAAAAAACTTAAATAAGTACTAATTTGTTGCTTTAGTGGTTGGCATAATGGAATCTCCAACAACAATGTGCATGCCTTATTTTAGTAATTACGCTTACTTATGCTTAATTATGTAGTCTAATTAATCTCTCTCAAACATAATTACATATGCTTAACGAGTGAGTGTTTTGGAAGATAACCACTAACCCCTTTTCGGCATATTCGCAGATGTAAGCGCATAAATTTGAATATTCTTTTTCTTCTGATCCTCCAATGGGATATGCCGTCTGCAACTGCCGCTGTGAGTACATGAACCCTAATGACATCCTATGTGCATTTACCATAATGCCCTCAATTTATTTTCATGAAATTTGGCTTCTATGTAGGGAGTTCTTTTTAACTAATGTTTAAATTCTATTTTGAGTTCGAATCTCATAGGAAGCAGTTAGGGGCACGCATCTATTTGGCTGAACCGACCAAAACATACGGTAATAGGTTGGTTTGGTTGTAGTTTTGAGCTTTTTAAATTGGCTTAAACTGAAATTTGGTAGAATTAAGATATATGTATAGTATTTCGCTGACATTACTATATACAAATGTTGAATTTGAAGTTTAGTACAATTTTGAAACTATTGATCTTTGGCTTGTAACCATATTATTAATTAAACTTGACCAATCCAATCTGAACCGTACCTGCTCTTAAAAATAATTCTTGATAAAAAAAATTATTAATTGAATTCAGATTGATCAACTCTGGAAGAAAGTACAATTTGAATTTTGGTTTCTTGATTCAAAGAGTTACAATGAAAGCAAAAAAAATAAAAAGGGTATTTTGGACATTTGGCAAGCAGCCATTGCCATCATTATGAAATACAAATACCAGATCCATAGATAGCATATACCAACTAAATAACTCTAATTAGTTTTGCTAATTGTTCTTCTAATTCCAACTCTTTTTGTGACCATAGGGCTCACTCAAAGTGCATACTACCGACTTTATCTACTGCCACGTGGATTAACAGACGGATTCAAAACCTGAATACGACACGTGTCGTTTCACTTACCAAATACCGTGAAAAACCCGCGGGTTCACCAAAACCCGAAGCCCACCTTCCTCAATTTCCCGGGAGTTCTGCAAACTGTAAAAACCGCTGCATTTCACAAGCAAGCTCTTGTTTCTTAGTTTATTTCATTTGGGTTTTTCTTAAAAAACCCAAAAGTCTCAATCTTTGGTCTGGTTTTTTAAGGATATGCTTATTGGGACTCCGAAAGCAAGAACTGTCGGATGTCGTCGGAGAAGCTCCTTGCCACCGGTTTTGTGCAGTCCGATGCAGTGAATATGAATGTGGGGTCTTTCTCCTTCACCCCGATTTTCGAAGAGCTTCCGGTTGCCACCATCGTGTCGGTTTCGCGGCCCGAAACCGGAGATATTAGCCCCATGCTTTTGTCTTACACCATTGAGTTTCAGTACAAGCAGGCAAAGCTCTCTCTTTCTCCGTGTAATTTGTATCTGTATGAACTGTTTGGGATGGTTGTTCTTCAAAAGCTTAAGTTTTTAGGAACTAAAATTTGGTAATTTGTTATTATTATTTTGGTAAATCAATTGAAGTTGAATATTGGTAAAAGTTTGGGTACTTTGTTAATCAAATTTCCACGCATATGTTGTTTTTAGATCATATGATTGCTCTTCTACTAGTACCCATGTTTAAAATATTGGTACCAGAACAAGTATTGATATGCAAATTTGTGTATATATGGATGGATATATCGATATTGAATTTGCTCAAAAATATGAAAATTTAAAATAAAACTTTGGGGAATGTCATATGTCAGTTTGTCGATATTTAATTAAGAGTTTCCCCGATATGGCACCCCGTTCCATATCTTTGTCTGATTTTCCAATATTTCCACGTAACTAATACCAATGCTATGTTATAGTAATTTTTGGGTACATTGTTCACGATTGCCTCATCTAACGATTCGCAAAACTCTTCGATTGTCAGATGGTTTGGAAGTATTGTTATTCCATACTAAACGATTTGTTTTGTATTCTGCTGTAACAGTTCAAGTGGCGGTTGCTGAAGAAAGCATCACAAGTTCTCTATTTACATTTTGCTTTGAAGAAACGCGCGATAATTGAGGAGTTTCATGAGAAACAAGAACAGGTTTGCCAATTTTATTTGATATGTCTCTGCCATTCTTTCATTTTTCGTAACATTTATGTATACTGGATTTTTCTCATTTGTCTTTGGCCTAACACAAAAATGTACTTTTCATGGGAACTTTACACGAAAGGTTAAAGAATGGCTTCATAGTATTGGAATAGTTGATCAGACAGCAGTAGTGCAAGATGATGACGAACCAGATGATGGGGCGGTCCCTTTACATCATGACGAAAGTGTTAGAAACAGGTGATTTCTGACTTTCGTATCCCCTTTTCTCTTTCATTCTTGGGCACAAATTAAGCCTTTATGCTAATAGTACTTATGGTTCCCTAAATTTGGTTATGATGCAGAGATGTTCCATCTCGTGCTGCTCTTCCCATCCTCCGTCCAGCATTAGGAGGCCAGCAGTCCATTTCCGACAGAGGAAA